TTACTCAAGTGTGCAGTGATTATGGGCGATGTGGGAATGGTTTGTTTTTTGTTGTTGTGTGGTGCGGCCTGGATTCTGTAGTAGTGGGGATTTATTTTCACTGTGTAGATTGTTTGAATCTAAATTCGTCCAGTTTAGTTGGATGTTGAGGTTACTACTGCTCGACTTGTTGTTCTGTTTTCAGTGCTGTGTGGCGTGGGGTAAGTCCCTTTCAATGACTTCGATGGTGTGCAGGGGAGTGCTGATGGATTTGTCTTGGCTCTCTATGTAGGGTCTTGGGTCTTTGATGCTAGTCTTTCCTTGGTTCTTGGAGCTGGTGTAACGTTTTTGGTCCTCTGGTGCTGGGTGTGCTTTTTTGCAGGATGGTGTTTCCAGCTCAGTTGTTGCTAGGCGTTATTGGCGAGCAGCGTTTCTGGAGGAGTGGTTCGGAATCCTGAATGGCTGTTACTGCATTAGGTGGCTGCTGGTTTTCTGTTGGCGTCGCATTGGAGCTGTTGTATTCCTGTCGGTGTCCTGTTGGCCGTATTTCTATGCTGGTTTGGAGCCCAGGCTCTGGTGTTGGAGTGCTGCCTGTATTATTGGTGTATGTGTGTTGGCATTTTTGTTTTAGGGGTTGTGCTGTAATGGGGGGGGGGGGGGTTTGCCCTACGTGCCCTGTTGTGCGGTTGCCTGTTTCGGCTGTAGCAGTGTAAACATACTATGATGTTTGATTACTTTCTCGACAACTCTTCGGGACTCTTTTTCCTCTATTTAGTGAGATTTTTTAACTAGATTTAAGTTTTTGTTTCGTTTTATATTCAATTTTTTGAATACTAAACCACTTTAAAAAATAAAAAAATTAGAGAGAGAATTATGTCCTCCCTATGACTATCTGAATTCAAGCAGCATAATATATGTGTGTATGAGTTTAGATCTAGACTTCTTTAATATGAATTATATTTTTATTTAAAAATAAATATTAAAAGTAATTTTATACAAATTGAATCCAGAGTAAAATAAACATAAAAGTAATTATGTTCTCCGTACATCCGTTGCAATTTTTTTCCTATCCAATCATTTCTAACAAAAATGAAAATCAAATCAGAAATTCTAACAATTAAACCATATCTCTGGTGATGATTTTGATCAACGGATGTGATATTATCAAAGTTTCTCAAAAGTCAAAATATATAATTAAGATTAGATTGACAGAAAAAGGATAAGCCTCATCAGGTTTGATAGAATGCCACCTTACAATAACATTGTCTCCCCCCTATAAAATGCATCCAGACATAATCATTGTGTAAAAGTCAAATGTGGATCTCCTTGTGTTCACTTTTTCAAACCCTAAATCTGTTTATACCCAAATTTCTTTCTAATTTCGGCTCCTTAAATCTTTAGCTTTTTTTAATTGTTTTTAATCTCTCCATTTCTATGATAGTCTCAGCTCTATCAACCCAAAAAACCCATTTTTTTCTTCTGTTCTTCGGTATTTGTTTTCCTTTGAAATGAATAACAGCGACCATTGCAATCGGAGATCAAAGGAGGGATTTTCCGACCAAAACGAAGACGATAGCTGTTGCAGTGATCGTGAAGCTAAAAAGAAAGACTTGAATTGTATCGTTACTTCGTTAACGTTGGTTGAGGAGCAGGAAAAACAAGACGGCGAGGAGCAAAATGATGAGTCCCACGAAGAGAAATCGATTATGGAGTCGACCAGTAACAAGAAGAGCCGAACCATGCTTGAATTACAGTTCAATTTACAAGATTATTACTCCGAAATTGAAGACACCAACCGTGTAAAGCGAAGGAAATCGCGCTTCACGGCGGCCGCTAGCGTTTCCGAAACAGAAAAGCAGTCACCCAACAACGGGAGTGGAAAATCCGGGTCGGGTCAGGGACAACAGAGGCGGTTATGGGTGAAGGACAGGTCGAACGCGTGGTGGGACGAATGCAGCCGACCCGATTACCCGGAGTCGGAATTCAAAAAAGCGTTCAGGATGAGCAAGTCAACGTTCGAGCTCATCTGCGAGGAGCTGAACGCCGTTATCGCCAAAGAAGACACCGCGTTACGTAACGCAATCCCCGTCAAGTAACGGGTGGCGGTCTGCATCTGGCGGCTGGCGACCGGCGAGCCGCTCCGGCTCGTCTCGAAACGGTTCGGCTTAGGCATCTCCACGTGTCACAAGCTCGTCCTCGAAGTCTGTTCGGCTATACGCAACGTTTTGATGCCCAAGTACTTGCAATGGCCAAACGACGACGGATTGCGGAAAATCAAACAAGAGTACGAGGCCATTTCTGGGATACCAAACGTCGTCGGATCGATGTACACGACGCACATTCCGATCATCGCGCCGAAGATCAGCGTCGCGGCGTATTTCAACAAAAGACACACGGATCGAAACCGGAAGACTTCGTATTCGATAACCGTACAGGGCGTCGTCGACCCGAACGGCGTGTTCACCGACGTGTGCATCGGCTGGCCCGGTTCGATGACCGACGAGCAAGTCCTAGAGAAATCGGCATTGTTCCAAAGGGAAAAAAACGGTGGTTTATTGAACGGCGTTTGGGTAGTTGGAAGCCCGGGTTATCCATTAATGGATTGGGTTTTGGTTCCTTATAAACAACACCATTTTACATGGACCCAACATGCTTTCAATGAAAAGATTGGTGAAATCCAAAGGGTTTCCAAAAAAGCTTTTGGAAGATTGAAAGGGAGATGGAGTTGTTTGCAGAAGAGAACAGAGGTGAAGTTGCAGGATTTGCCTGTTGTGCTTGGAGCTTGTTGTGTTCTGCATAATATCTGTGAACTGAGGAAGGAAGGGATCGAACCTGAGTCGGAAATCGAGGTTTATGACGACGAAATGGCGGCGGAAGATGGTATGAGATCGGTGAGTTCATTGAAAGCTAGAGATGCTATTGCTCATAACCTTTTGCATCATCGTTTTGCTGGGACTGCTTTTCTGTAACTTATAAAGTGTATATATACCTTAAGAGGGGGAAATACCATATATTGTTGTCTTTTTATAGATTAGGAATTCATTTGTTTTTGGAAATGTAGTTATTACTACTTCTTCTAGAAGATATTTGTATTCCTTTAGGTTATAGAGTTATTTAACCATGTAATGAAGTACATGAATGAAATAAAACATATAGGACCATTCTTTTCAATGTGCAATTGTTTGTCGATCTATGCAAATGTTGTAGTGGTCATTTTATTGATCTATGCTCAAATATGTGTCACTGCACTGCTAGAATAAGTTAAACATAATGCTAATTTTATAACAATTTAATTTAATGATATTAAAATAATAAAATCTTGGTTGATGAAACAAATAGGCGGATAGTTTTGTCTCAATAGTAATATGACCAAATCTCAAAAACCATAACGATGCTCATGCTACAAGTGAAGTTGTAGGACATTAAGATAAGAGCATTTTATAAGTGAAATATGGTATTATTATGGGGATGACCTTTAACAGGCTAAATTAGAGGGACAGAGTACATACAATAATTATTTTCACATTTAAGTCTACCACTCCCAAGGGGACAGATGCCAAAAAAGTTACCTTCGAGGAACCTATCTGATTGAGTAGACAGTTGAAAAGCAACGTGCAAATCCTAAATCGGCGGACCTATAAATTCTAATCAGTACTGAACAACAAATCTGACTCACTTAAGATTAAACTCAAAACCATTCCGATTCAAAAAAAAAAAAAAAATTAAATTATTAGTATTCAATTTATTGATCAATCTATTTTAAATTGAATTGTAATGGGTTTTATTACATAAATAGTCTTCCTCGTATAATTTATTTTATTCATAAATATTAAGATTAAAATTTTTAATATTAATTAAAGAATTTAATATTTTATCTCACTAAATTAACTCATTATTAATATTGTCCTTACTCAATTTGATTATAAAAGTTTAACTTTAATTCTATTGGTTCGAATTCAAATTGACCCAAACAAATCTAAATTTAAAGTGGCCAAAAATAAAAATAATTCAAATCCAACCTAAAATCGAGTCTATAACTTCAATAACAATCTAAAACAACCCAAAAAGAACTTGAAAATTTTAAAAGACACTAGGAAAAAACTAACAACATCTGGTGCTTAATAGGATTGTAAACGAGTTGAATCAAACTCGAGTATTGAGTCACTAATATCAATCAAGGCGCTTCGGATTTACCGCTTCATCAGACGGAAGATGGATTAGATATCAAGCAGGTGACTTTTAGTTTCCTTTGATTAATTGCTTATTGGGTTTTAAACTATTTGTCTTGTAACCTATTCCTTTAATTAATGATTTCATGATTCAAATAGGTTGTTGAAGATATATGTTATATTGGGTTAAAGTTTGTGTTTGAAAATGTTCAAAATTAGATAAATGGTCATGTCGATCCTGATAATGGTCAGTTGTTGCGTGACATTGAGTAAATAGGCAAAACCCTTTACTTGCAGAAACCCTCATCGAAACCTTTGATTTCCACATCTGATTTTGGATCTATGTCAGTCTTTCGGAATCCGATAAGGATAAGAAATCGTCGTGGGATTGGAAGAAGCACTTGAAAGCATTAACTCATAATATGCAACATCGGTTTCATATTTGCAATTTCTTCGGGGACGATGTTTGACTTACAAAATAATTTAAAAATGATTTTAAACAAAGGGTAAACCATGTGAATAATCTCATATATTTTGGGTCAGACTGAATTTGATTCATGATATTTTTGATCTGTTCCATTTTAATTTCTAATGTTATCGATCGTTTAATTTTAATCTCTCAGTCGTTGATTCCTATTCAATTTTAGTCCTTCAATTGTGTTAGAGACTTAACGAAAATTAATAACATATAGACTTAAACCGAATGGACTGATAATATGAATAACCGTTTATCTTTAATTTTTAAATTAATAATTAAAATTCCTTAAATAAAAAATTGATTTTGAAGCTGATGAATTTTTTTGATGATATCCGAATATTTTTAGATTTTATAGAAGATCCATTAGAGCATACTTTAACTTCCAAAGAACATGTTTATTATCATGATTTCATAACAGACACAAGATTCAAATACGGAAGGAAACTCAGCATCAAACCCGGAAGGAAACTCATAGCATCAACCGCGATTATTTAAACCATGAGAGTGTCCCTAAACCACACTCTCTCAACATATCTTGACCTCAATGGTCTTCGGTTTCTTAGGCTCGGGCGGCGGCAATTTCTCCACGGTCACTGTCAAAACCCCATCTTGACACACTGCCGATATCGCATCCGTGTTAGTAGCATTCTCCGGCAACACGAACTTCCTCATAAACTTGCCCACCCTCCTCTCCATTCTCACGTACTTCGCCCCTTCTTTCTCTTCCTCCCGCTTCCGTTCTCCGCTGATCAACAGCACGTTGTCGGCCTCCACCTGTACTTTGATGTCCCCCGATCTCAGCCCCGGCATGTCGACGACGAAGACGTAAGACTTGGGATCTTCCCTGATATCCGCAGGGGTCGCCGCCATGGCCTTGGCGTCGCGTAAGTAAACACGAGATGCGGCGTTGGGGTTCTTGTTGGCGTCGTTGTCTTCGTGGAGATCCATCGTGTGGTGAAGGGTGTGGAGGAGTGGTAAATCGTAGCCCATGATTCTGAAATCCATTTTTCTCTTCTTTGATGAAGACGATGCCGTGAAAGATAAATTCTTCGCCTTTTGAATCTTCGATTTTCTCTGGAAATTTGCTCTTCTTTGTGTGGATGGAGAATTGAGGATGGGGTTTCTGTATTTAAATGGTTGTGGTGGGAGTTTTTCTAGAGGATTTTCGACAAGATTTTCCTACTTTCTGGAAGAGTCCTTCACTTTCGAGAATGTATTGGAAGGTCAAGAATAGTGCGATTCATAAGCTTGGAACAGTCCTTTTACTATTATTCATAAAATTTCATCTTATTTTTTAATTTTTTATTAATTAATCACAAAAGTAACTCACATGTTAAATTGAACGTTAATTATTTTTTAATATAAACAAATATTGGATATATTTAGAGATTTATGTAAAAAACTTAATTACTCTCGTCAAATTATTGGATTCGAGATTTAATATAGACTTAAAAATGGTAGTTTAAATTTGACCAAAAAAAACTATTCGAATTTTATCTGAATCGATATAAACTTAGACCTAATTTAATCTGAATCTAAAGTAACTCAAATTTAAGTTAATTCCAACCAAAAAGTAACTTAAACCAAAATGATGATTGAATTCAAAATTTTGAACAATTGAGAGTTGAAATTAAATCTAACTTATAAGGTTTATGGACAAAACGATATAAATTTGATTAAAATTATTAATATTTATATACATATTCAGATGGACTCATATTCAAATCAATTGAAATTGATTGAAGATCCGGAGGTTGTCTCAAAACAAAAACAAAAAAATATGATATTGACTTGATTCAAAAATCGATTGGTATTAATCTCTTCAAAATCGACGGATAAGATATTGACATGATTCGAACATTGATTGATATGATATTAATAAATATTGAAAATCAACCGATTCAATATTAACCTAACCTAAAAATTGACCGATTTGTTATTAATCCAACTTGACTTACAATAGACCCAAATTAAATTTGATCTATCCGAACTGAATTTAAACCGAATACAGTCTAGAACAAATGACTCAACCCAAATTCGATTCAAACGACCTGTTGTCACCTCCAAATTTAAAAGGTTTATGATTTGAAGTTTAATGTTTAAAATTTAGGGTTTAATTTACCTCGTTGATGGGGACGATCCCGGCTCGAGCTCCTTTATATGGGTGCCCTTGTGGTTACCGAGAGCAGTGTTGGCACTGTAACTGTTAGTTTAGAAATTTCCGATACTACAGCCATTGTTATAGCTAGTGCTGTTTCTGGGTTAAGTTCAACTATGGCTGCATAACTCGTTTGTACCCCCATCGATGTTGTGGGCCAAGGACTTGTGGACTATGGCTGCAGTTGAATATTTTGGTTGCTATTCAGAGCCTTACTGCATTTTTTAGAGACCCATTTGATGATAATGTATTACCTATTGTTTTTTTTTAAAGATGTAGATTTAGTTTGTCAAGTGAAAATAAACTTCACTGGGAACACCTCAACGTGTCAAACAATTTAACAACCGACTAATGACCAACTTGGAACGGGTTAGACGACGGATCCAAGTTGTCTGGTGTTCGAAAAAACTATCACCCACGTTCTGAGTGACTACTCAACCACATCACATAACAGGGAGTTCCTTTTCCTTTCTTTTACTTGATTGGTTAAAGACTAATCTCACTAAAACCGCAGGGGTTGATTTCATTGGAGACACTTGTTTGGTCTGGAGACTCTGGAAGCAACGCAGTAACATCGTCTTCAATGGACAGATACCGCTCATCATTCATTCGGCGAGGTCATGGACCAAATCGATCCGGGCTAACTCTCATAATTCTCTTCTAAGCTACAACCGCCATACTAGGAATCAACACTGGAGGCCTCCCATCACCAGAGTGGTCAAACTCACCACAGATGGAGCTGTGAATCAACCCTCAATAGAGGCGGTAGGGGCAGCATCATTCGGAACACTGAAGCCGATTGGATAATAGGTTACTACTAAAACATCTGTCGTTGTCATGTCCTTCACGCCAAGCTGTGGGCTCTGTTGGATGGCTTGCATATCGCTGGGACCGAGGCTTTGATGTGGAAATGGATAACGCCGAGACAGTAAGGCTCCTCAACACCCCTTATTCGACGCAACACAAATCGACCATCTTTCGCAGAATTCGTAAGCTTCTCCGATACCAATATAGGATTAAAATATCCTACATTTGTTGGAAAACGAACGGTATCATTGATGCGCTTTCTCCATCTAGACATGACTGTATGAAGGAGGAGACCTAACCACGGCTAGTGTAGTTGTTTCCTCTTGCAACCAAAAAAAAAGGTCACTACGACATAAATTAGGACATTAGGTAAGAACAAAGTTAAGATAAAATTTGGAGGGAGAAAATTGTGAAAGGGTAAAAAAATATTGAAAGAGTTAAAAATTTGATTTTACAAATATTTAAATTATTTGTTGTCAAATTAAAATAAAAAATAAAATCTCAAATTTCAACAAAATAAAAGTACTAAAATCAAAATCAAGAATCAATCATAAATCGAGTGGTCTCTTCTCAATCATAAACACGACGTCGTTTAAAATCGAATTGACTAAAATTCCTTGTACCAAGGACAAAAACGAAAAAGCGAACCCACGAGAAACTGAAGTGAGAGATGAAGTCAGCGGTGTCATCACTACTTAGCTCCAAGAATTCTGCATTCTCACGCAGCTTTCTTCAACATTCATCAAAACCCATTTCTCAGACAACATTCTTAATCTCAAATATTCCCCAAAACACCAGAAATCTGTACAATCAAAGTTACCCAAAGCTGCAAATCAGACCCATCTCAACAGAATCATCGGTAATGGCATCAGCTTCCATGTCTGAGCTAGCCAGGGAACCCCCTGCCCTTCCTCTTCCCACCCCTCCTCTCACCAAGGCAATCTCTTTTTTCTCTGTCTTTGTCTTTTTGTTGATTTGATTGTTTGTTTGTTGAAGTTATCTGTTTTGGGTTGTTTTTTTCGTTGTTATTGTTGTAGTTCAAGATTGGGCTTTGTCAGCTGTCGGTGACGCCAGATAAAGAGAGGAACATAAAGAATGCTCAGAAGGCCATCGAGGAGGCTGCTCAAAAGGGTGCCCAGCTTGTTCTTTTGCCTGTGAGTATCTCAAGGTTTCACCTTTTCTGATTTTCAAATGAGGGAATTGTTGGGTAATAATTTGTAGAAAGTTATGGAACAATTATCGGCTGACAGCGGTTCACCCTTCTGATTTGGGTGGAGATTTTTATTCGGTGATGCCAATTCAGTTTCTTTCCCACTTACTTTGTAACTTCGTAGCAGTCTTCTGCTTTTGGGTAATACAATTGAAACTTATCCAAAAAAAATAATAATAATAATAATTGATGAAGAAAATGAAGATCCGAGAGCCCCTTCCTGTCCGCCATAAGGTGGGTTTATATTTGATGGTGTCTGACCTAGGATTATAATTATTATCGTAGGCTGACAATGTCATTTAACGGAGGTGCTCATTAAAGATTTGGGTCTTGTCGAATTTCTTAGGTTTGTCAGTCTTATTAAGAGATGGTGATGGGTCAGATAGTTTAATTAATTCCGGAGGTGCAGTGTTCTTTCGGAGATATGAAGCTTATCTCAGGTGTGACATAAGCTTTCATTGTATCGAATTTGAGGGTCTGGTATCGGTGGGTCTTGGAATTGTTTGGTGAAAAAGAAAGTTATGGTTCTTTGTTTTTGGTGTTGTGTTCAAGAATTATAAATTATGAATATGATGATATCAAAGCATCGACTTTTAGGCCTGCTTATCCTGTCTGTTATTTTGTTTCAGGAAATATGGAACAGCCCGTATTCGAATGACAGCTTCCCTGTTTATGCTGAAGATATCGATGCAGGCGGTGATGCTTCTCCTTCTACGGCTATGCTGTCTGAAGTCGCTAGTCACCTGAAGATCACAATAGTTGGCGGTTCTATACCCGAATGCTGTGGCGATAAGTTGTATAATACTTGTTGTGTCTTTGGTTCCGATGGAACGCTCAAAGCCAAGCATCGCAAGGTAGAGACTCTTTATGTCGCATAATGGTAGTATGGAATAACAAGCCAAGCATCGCAAGATGATTGTACAAGATCTGTCATCACCTGATATAAAAAAGCTCATACATTGATTCATTATTTGATGATTTAAGGCATCTAATGTTTCAGTTTTGATGTTTCACGTATCATCGAATGAGAATCGGTACTAATTTCTATGAGGTTCTGCTAGTTTCTGTGATAAAGAGAGACGTTTACCGATTGGTATGTAGTCATTGGAATTATGGGTCTCAAATACCAAGTTCATTGTGTCCTTTAGACAGTTCTATTGTTTTAGTGATATCATTTCGAAATTTGAAGACTCTCTTTAAAGCTGTTGTGTTTAATATTTATTACATTCCTATGGAACTGCAGATTCACCTTTTCGATGTCGATATTCCCGGGAAGATTACCTTTATGGAATCGAAGACACTTACTGCAGGGGAGACTCCTACTGTTGTGGACACAGGTTCGGTGTTTCCTTTGACTTTCCGCTCATGAACATGGGCATGTTATAATAATTAGTCCATAACTTTTGTTGAAAGCATTTCCTTAGATTTCTATGAATTCTAATTCCCGTCACCCGTCTAGTGCATTAGTTCAAAAATTTTCGAAATGGGAAATTAATAAATACTGCATGCAGATGTTGGACGTATCGGTATAGGAATCTGTTACGACATTCGGTTTACGGAATTAGCAATGATTTATGCTGCAAGAGGTTTGTTTACTTCATCGAACTGTGATGCAATTAACTTCTCCTGTTGTTTTCTTTTCTTCAAATGCTTTGATGTACATTGCGGTTTGGATCTTTCTACTGCTTTCCTCTCGATATTAACAAGATTATGCTCATGTATTTATCTTTTCTTTGAAAACTGAAAGTTGCGGAAGTAATCATATTGCCTATCTTATTCAATTAGGTGCTCACTTGATATGCTATCCTGGAGCATTTAACATGACAACTGGGCCATTGCATTGGGAGTTGTCGCAGAGAGCAAGGTGCTTGTTCTTTTTTCCCTGCTTTCGATCTCCAGATTTGTTCTTTTTTGCTTGAACATCCGACCTTTCTCCAACCCGAAGGGGAATGGCCGTATTCGATGATCTAGTGAGCTAAATGTTATTTTTCTATGTCGAATAGTGTGGTTTATACTGTTTGTCTCTATATAATAGTTGTTCATCTACTAATGTTCTTCTTGCTGTTACACATGCAGGGCTATGGATAATCAGGTATAGCTGCAAAATTTTTCCCTTTCGTCAATCGACCAATGTAAAGGCATACCTTAACGAAGCACTTGAAAATTGTGTCAATTCTGTCATTGTATTTTCGTCTTCTGTTTTATTAAGCATTGAAAAATACTCGTTTATAATTTATGCTCCGTTGTTGTTGCCATAGTTACTGAATGTTACATGTGGAGGTGATTCATTAGAACGGGAAACTTAAGGTCCTTAAGACCTTGCTGTCTTGAACACGAATATCTGATTGATTCTAAAAGGTTTCTGTTTTGTGTTTCTTTCGAATGGCAGTTATATGTTGCAACTTGTTCACCTGCTCGAGATCCTAGAGCCGGTTACGTGGCTTGGGGTCACTCAACACTTGTAGGACCTGTAAGTTGATAGCTCGTTTGCGGGTTAACGAATATAGATTTCATGTATGGTGTTTTTTTGTGGTTTTAAGCCATGTAACTGTATAAGTAATGCTTAAATTGTTTGCATTGTGACAGTTTGGGGAAGTTCTGGCCACGACTGAACATGAAGAAGACATACTAATAGCAGAGATTGATTATTCGATACTCGAGCAACGAAGGTGACCACCGGTGGCTTTTTCCACCTAGTATTTGTTCTATGGAATTCGTCTATCCGATAACACTTTCTGATTGTTCTAAGTGGTTGCTTGTGATAAAAATTCAGGGCAAGTCTTCCCTTCACAAAACAACGGCGAGGCGATCTTTACAAGCTGGTCGACATCCAGAGGCTCAACTCTCACTGATGTAAGAGGGGAGGAGAGAACCTTGTGATGAAACTCATCGATACGAGAGTTTTCGTTCGAACTCCATTAAGAGTCCTTTGTTAATGGAACTCATCAGTTTATGAATATTGTTTTTTCAAAAAAGTTTGTATTAACCAAAATAAAATGATCTAGTGAGATGATATATTATATTCCTAAGTAAGATTAAAAGTTCAATTCTTGACGCGAATGGAATAAATTGGGTTGGACCTACTTCTTGTTTATTGGTCAATGTTATATCCTCGTATCTATATTTGAATATGTATCGGACACGAATATTAGAACAAAATACTTTAAAAAAACCAAAACAAGATAATAGTACATTGCAAGTTTGCCGAGGGAAATGACACATAAGGTCTACCTATGCAGATATCCCCAATCGTACACACTAATCCCTTCTCTTTTGTATACATTTACCCCAGCAAAATGCAGGAGGATACGCGAGTTGCTATGAACATGCTCTCTCTTCCTGGGTGTTTGCTTCAGCAGCACTTGTAATCGAAAAGCTAGAAAACCAAATGATACAAACAAGCTAGATTCGAATGAGCTATGGGCGTACGGCATATCGAGCATTCGGTGGTTTTTTTGCACCATTCCATGATGCAATACCTACAGACGGGAAAAAGGAAAGATACCAGCAGAATACATGACCGGCCGTCGGGTGTTGTCGATTGCTTAGGCATAACAGCAGCTTTTGACGAAATCTGCACAAGCAGTAGCTTAGTTAATATAAGCAGAAAGGTGATGAGAATATGGTTGAAACTTGTGATCAATTGTATCTGCCATTGACTAGTAACACAGGCACCTTAATCGTTCGTGCTGCCTAGTACTTAAAGATCTCTTTCATAGCATTTTCGGACAACGATCATACAACGTTAGGAAATCATTTATAACAAATTAAAGATTACATCATGTTTTGCATCTTCTTTTTGCAATCCGGGGATGGACCAGACAATTTGGTACCCTAAATTTTTGAAATAAACTACAACATACTTAAAGAATAATTTAACCCATGAATTGAGATAAAATATTAATTTGACCTCTGAATCCGATAAAAATTTTCACTATCGACTATTGTTCACTACCGTCAATTTCTATCACCAGTTATTATTTATTATTGTCATCGATAAAGACTAACCAAGTAAAAGGAAGCTTATGATAGGTGCATGAAATACTAACCAGGTAAAGACTACTTAGAGGGTAAAGCCTATGGTTTCAAGTTTATGACGCTATTGATAATCAAAACGTAACTTTTCTAAAATTGATGGCCAAAGAAAAATAAACCGAAAATAAAAGGGATCAACAATATAGTTTACCTCTTGTAAGTTGGAAAACTTTGCAATTGACATATTGCCAAGCCAACCAAATGAATCCACTCTTTTCTTTTTCCTTTCTGGTGCAGCAAGTTAATAGAAAAGTGGAGCTGAAGACTCAAAGACCAGTGGCTCCACAATTCAAAAGAATTTAGATGACATGATTGGATACTAACGCTTGTTAATCAAAATGTATTTCTTTTAAATGTGTTATGACTGGATTATTTTTAAAAGAAAGTTATTAGTTTATCTCGAAATTTTCTTCATTTTCCCGAATAAATTATTAACTCTAGATTTCCTTTGATTTCTCAACAATGGAACATCCTCTCTTAGATTCCGAACGTTCAACGTTGATTGAGTGGTAGATATTATAAATCAAAACATTTTGAGGTTTTATGTGTTTAAATTTTTTGAGTTTTAAAGTGATTTAGGAAAATCTGAAACTGATAGAATGGTAGGAGGTAATGATATAAGTTTATTGATATCTCAAGTGGTTAGAAAAGGCATCAGAGATTACTAATTGCAATACCGACGTGACATAGAGATAAATTTGTAAAATTTCCATCTTCAAGCAAAAAAAAAAGATAAAAATGATGTGAATCAAAATGTCATATCAAAATGATCAAAATAACAATAAATCAAAAATCAATTTTTTTTAAATTTAATGATGAAAATGGAAGTAGATAAAAATTGAATAATAAAATTTATAATTTACCGACTTTTCATTCTTAAATAAATAAAATATTACATTTGGTAAATCAAATCGATAACATCTGCTTTGTGAACTCTTCTAAGGAGCTCAATGAAGAGCCGCCCTCTGTTAGAGAAAGTATCGTTTTCCTCTTTAACTCCATAGCTTTGTTTCTGATCTCCTCTCCTTGTATGTCCGCCATTAATGTCTTTATAGCTCCTTGTATCTTTCCCCTCTCCAACTCACTCTCCACTTGAATTCCTATCTTCCACGCATAACATATATACTTCATGTTAAGAAACTGGTCCCCAAAACAAGGCTTGCACAACATCGGCACCCCTTCGGATAAGCTCTCGAGCGTCGAGTTCCATCCGCAGTGAGTCCAGAATCCACCCACTGCATCATGCGCCAACACCTCCCGTTGCGGTGCCCATTTCACGATGAAACCTCGGTGGTCTCCGACTTTCTGTCGGAAACCATCGGGTATCAGCTCAGTCCCTTCCGAACCATGAACCAAACCAGGTCTAATCACCCATAAAAATGGCTGCTTGCTGTTGGCTAAACCCCAAGCAATCTCAACAATTTCTTGTTTGCTCAAGCTAGCCATGCTTCCGAAGCTGACATAGATGACGGATTTCGGGGCTTGCTTGTCGAGCCATGAAATGCAGTGAGCATCTTCCTGCAGGATCGAGGTGGAACACGATGGAGCTAGTTTGTGGAAAGGGCCGAGTGTGAAAACCGGTGCGGGCGAGTATTGTCTGATCATTGATAAAGCTGCATGTTCGAGGAACTCCATTGTGTTGGCAATGATACCAGATGAGCTCCTGATGGCGTTTAACGAAGCAGCTCTCATCTCTTTCATATTGTCTGATGGATTCATTGAGAAAGATGTAAGCATTTGTTTGAGCTCAAGGGGTTGAAGCTCCGATATTTGGCTTTCAAATATAGACTCTGTCAATCAAATGGTATAAAGCTATTAGTTTCGTATCAAAAGCAGCAATATTGAATTTATAATACATACCTGGCTGCTTTATTTATGGGAATAATACTTATTTTTACTTTTCTTTTATCAAAAGGTGCGGGACTCTTTATATACGTGAAAGGTCATTCGAACAATCTTTTCTAAGTTAACGTCGTATTTATTGCTTTGAATATAGTTTATTAAATATGTAATTATTGAATGATTGAAAATTATGTTTGCATAGACAAATCGTCGGTTGACATATATTTCATGTGCTATTTTTTAATAAAATTTATATAAATTTATATATTCTTAGCTCATTATTTCTCATCATTTTCATTTTGACCTTTAATAACATTAGCGTGAGAAAGATCATTCAAATGACTTGCCATGTTAAAACCAACATACCTTGCTCGGTGTGAGGAACGACAGAGAAGAGTAAAATGGCTGCAGCAGTGGGGCGCATGTTAAAACCAGGTAAACCAAGATCATCGGCAACAGCTTGAACAAAGTACATGAAACAGTCATATACTACACCAGCAATACGTTCAAGTGGATGCTTCTGGTCGTCGTCCAACATTCGTTCCAAGCATTTCTGAAACGGTGCTGTACAGTTCTTGTTGAGAGCCAGAACCCGGTCAATAAAATCACCAGGAGCGAGGGAGACGCCGGACTCGACCAGCTGATCGGGGATCGATATGAAGGTGAAGTGAGGGTGGTTGGAAGGGTTTGGAGAGTTGAACTCGGGGTGAATTATGGTGATGGAGTAGCCTTTTGCATGCAAGATTGTGGCTAGCTGAAGCATGGGGTTTATGTGGCCTTGAAATGGGTATAACACCAACACCAACCTGCTGGACTGCTTTTCACCTTGTACTTCCTCCATTGCTGCTGCTGTTTACACGATTGCTGAACTTGAGAGCTTAATTTAGGGGAGAAGACTCAGACGATTGGGGTCTTTAACATTGCTAGTTGTGTTTACACGACAGCAGTCTGCCTGTTTTTGACATAAAGTGTGATCTTATCCACACTAGGGGGTCATACATTTCATGATCGCAATCTTATCCACCAATAAAAGTCATTTGGATTCCTCTGTTTTTGACATTTGGGCCTTTTCACTCAAATATCAAATACGGGAAATAATCACGTAACATTAATTTATGGTTAAAAAAATATATTATCGGTTTTGTTATTATTTAAATAATAAATTTCATAAAAATTATCGAAAATATTATTATTTCTACTGATTTTATTATTGTTGAACACTTTACCGGAAATATTAAAAAACATTGATGTTTTGGTATAAATAATAATGTTTTAGGTAATTTTTTACCGATTTTGTTATTTAAATAATACAAAAACCCTTTTTATATATGTATATTAAGGGTGTCGCACTGTAGAACTCCACATCAAATACTATATATGTATAATAACACATGATTTAAATTATTCTTAAATTGATATATTTTTGTAAGTTAGGATGAAAATGTGTAAAAGTATTTTTTTTCAACCATCTTTAAAACAGATAATTAAAATTTGTAGTTGATATATTCCCTCTTTTTTAGGTTGTAAGTTTAATATACATTATAAATAAAATTTCCCTTCCCCTAGATAGAATTTATTAAAAGAAGTATCTTCGAAAATATGTATTGTTAGTTGTGTTTTTTATTTACGTGATGTTGATATAGATATAAATTGAATTAAAATAAATGAAAAATATAAAAGTTTATACAAATTTTATTTAAAAAAGTAAACTAAACAGTCTCAGTGGTAAATATATTATTGTTGTTCCTTAAGATTTCAAGTTCGAGCACCTTAAATATCAAATATGTGAGCATTAGCATTGTTTTAACTGTGGTAGAAAAATGCTTTTAGATTATTATTTCCAGAAAAAAAAATATTTTCAACCTAAAATTTAGATTATTTTAATTATTTTTTTATTCAATCTAGACTGATAAAAAAATAATTTTTTCCTCTAAAAAAGTACTTTGTTTACCAAATATCTTGTGTTACTTTTCTAGTTAAATTATACTTTTAAGCTTCTATTATTATTATTATTATTATACGGTCTTCATTTTATAATTTATAAATCAATAATTTTTTATTAAGAGACAATAACAATTTTATGTAGGGTGCGAGAGAATTATTTTCTAATTTAGTATTATTGTTAGAGTATATGTTGGAAGATGCTAGGATAATACAATGTTTTTAGGAAAACGCCGGACGATAGGACATCTTTGGCAAGACTAAAGTGTTATAAGCTTTTAGGAATGTATGCACCTAGATAGAAGACGTCGTGTCATCTATGCATCTTCCTGAAGATATTGTCTTTCGACCTCATTCAATATACACTATAACAATCATAATACTTAAGAAAATAATTATCCACACACCCTAAATGGGAAAAAGATTTCATCATAATATCTGGACAAATTTTTTAGAGATATAGTTATATAATTTAAATTATTTATGAGTTTAAAATTTTTAAATTTTTTAAGTAAAAACTATTTTAAATTTTATATATTTCCAAAGAACACATATAATTATTAAAAATATTTGTTTTTAAAACATTATATATATATATATATATATTAATCGTAATCTAATTTGATATATTTTATATATTATAACATTAAGGAACATACTATATACCATTTAAATGTGTCTTTTTTAACTTATAATATCATGTCTAAAATGATCATTTATCTTTTTAAAAACAACTTTTAATGATAATATAAAATACTACCAAATAATCTAAGAGTATTTTTTTTTGCAACACTTTTAAAAAAACACCGGTAAAAATAAAATAGAAATTGTGTTTATTCTTTTTTGGACAAATATTATATAATTTTTAACATTTTTTTCTTTTACTTTAAACTAATTTGCACTCGTATCGTCGTTACATAAATATTATATGTCTAGTTACTTGTATCTATGTAAGTATCCAAATTTTGGATCAACATTCTCATGTTAGTACGAGGTTTGTTGACCTAATTTAATTAGTATGTTTAATTTTCGGATAACCAAAATAATGTTTACACTCATTAGTTTAAAATAGAATTTTTATAAATCTCTGGTATAATACTTGAGTGAGTTTAAATTGAGTTTGAGTAATTTATAACAATTTCAAACTTTTTGTCATTTAAATTTGAGTCGGTTATTATAATTTGATTTTTTATTTAAATATATTTTAAAAAATATTTTATAGAAATAACATCGGTTAATGATTAATTCCTGATGCAACATTTATTTTTGTCACATAATAACAAGATGCTTTTTAAAAAAATGTGTTTTTATCGAGGTGACATCTGAGATAACATAAACACGTTCCGTAGAAAGCATCTTCCCTTTCCCGTCCTTTATCCTTCTCGTTATTTTGTAAACAGTAGGTGAGTAAAATGAAATTAAAATATAATATTAGTTCTAATTTTAAAATAAAAATAGTTGGGTGACAAAAATAAAAGCAATAGTTAGAGTACTAAACTTGTAATTTACCCTTTTTATAGTAAGCCTTCTTTTTATTTTTCTATTTCTTTTTTTTTATAATAAATTATACAAAACGGTGTCGTTCAACATGTAACGGCAAGGCTATGATTTCCTGGGAAAAAGAAACGGAGAGAAAAAGAAAATGAAAAAGTAGAGATCAATTCTTGTTTTATTTGGGTGAATAAAAAGCAGGAAATCGCTGCGGATTATTTCCAACCCATTAGCGCCGACCCATCTCGTTAACCACTGTGAGCTCCGGAGATCCGAGCAGGTTATTTTCCTTAATTAATCTATACTTTTCTTTATTTACGTGTGTAGATCGATTCTTCTTTCAATTTCACGAAGAATAAGATCTTTAACTTCCGTTTCCTTCCTAGGGTTCCATAACGATCGGGCCTTTTTTTTCTTTGAATTTTAGGTTTGATTTTTCGTTTCTAGGATAAAATGTGCAGGATCGTGAACTAGGGTTTCAAGAAAAAAAAATTCGGTTTGTTGAGGGGGTTAGGTTTTTGACCTTCGAGTGTATGAGGATTTGGTGCTGTCTATGCTTTACCTACGACGAAGTGGATGATAATCGACGGGAAGGGAACATGGAGGAAGGGTTTTTAGCAAATGTAGGGGGTTTTGAGGGTAATATTGTAAATGAAGAGGACGATGATGACCATGAGGAGCGAGAAAAGGAAGGAGAAAAGGAAGATGAAGAGGAGGCTTACTCCAATGTCGCTGATTTTGCGGCAGAGGCGGCTCAAATTACCTCAACTCTAAACAGACAGTTTGATGAAATGGTATCCGCCATGATATGCAGTGGCAACTGGGATGATGCTACATGGCGCCCTCTGAATCAGTGCTCATTTCTTTCAGAAGGTGAGAGTAGCGCCTCCGTTCCAACTGCCATTGAAGATAGTGAGAACCAAGATTCGTACCATAAGCGAGCCAAAGTGTACTCTGGTTTTCAGTGAGTTGACTTGAAAACTATATACAAAATTTCATTAGGAAATTTTAATTTTTTGTCATCACTTTCTTTTTTGCAACATTTTCCCTGCAGTGAGAGCTCGTCGTTCCCTGTGATAGGGAGATATTATAACATTAACCAAGGCTCATCAAATTCATCTAATAATGGGATATTTGATCACAATTTCATTTTGAATGATGAGAGTGATGAGCTTCCTTTTGGTGGCAATGATCATGCCATAGGTGAGAAACATGAGGGTGGTATGAGGGAGGAAGATTTTGAAATCCGGATGGATCTGACTGATGACTTACTGCTTATGGTAGGTAGTTTGAACTGTTACACTTCCGTTTTAGTTTTTATATTTTGTTGAATCATTTTTTGTTTTTTCTATTTTCAGGTGTTCTCATTCTTGGACCATTGTAGTCTTTGTCACGCTGCTATGGTTTGTAGGCAGTGGCGAGCAGCCAGTGCTCATGAGGATTTTTGGAGGTGCCTGAATTTTGAAAACCGGAATATATCTCTTGAACAATGTGAGTCTCATATTTGCTTAATATCTTTTTGCAGTTCTTTTGGTTGAAAAAGTTCACTCCAAAAAGATTTAGAAATTAGCCTGAGAGATGATAGTGCTAGTCTAAATTGCTTAGAATAACAATTAAGAGAATTAAAAGAACATGTAGCTATATAGAAACTGTCCCTTTATCTTATGCCGAGATTACCTTTTATGGTTCTGGTCATGTCATTTTCTATTTTCCTTTTTGTTTATTATATTACTTTGTGTGAGACAATTCTGCATTATTAATAATAAAATAGATTCGGACTGCTATAACATTGCAATTTGGTTCGGCAGTTGAGGACACGTGTCAACGATATCCGAATGCCACTGAAGTGAATCTCAGTGGCACTCGTAATATGCACCTGCTAGTTATGAGAGCTGTCTCTTCATTACGGTAATATTTACTTGTCATATTATATATTCTTCAAATATAATGAATATGTTGTGCTTGCTGTTAATCATGTAAATTTTCTGATTGGCAGAAATATTGAGGTTTTAACATTGGGAAGAGGCCAACTAGGGGATGCTTTTTTTCATGCATTGGTAGAATGTAGTATGTTACGGAGTTTGGATGTCAGTGATGCTGCTCTCGGCAATGGTGTTCAAGAAATACCTATTAACCATGATCGACTGTGTGATCTGAAAGTAACAAAATGCCGTGTAATGCGTCTATCTATCAGGTGAAAGTGAAACAAAGGCTTCATTTGAATGTTGACTTTATCTTGGAGTCAATGTGGTTATTCTTCATGCTAAAGCCTGAATCTTTTGCAGGTGTCCACAACTAAAAAGTTTATCTTTGAAACGTAGTAATATGGCACAGGTGGCCCTGAATTGCCCTCTTATAAATCTGCTTGACATAAGCTCATGCCACAAACTTACAGATGCGGCAATTCGTTCGGCAGTGACTTCTTGCCCCCAATTAGAATCTTTGGACATGTCGAATTGCTCTTGTGTTAGTGACGAGACATTGCGTGAGATAGCTCACAGTTGTGCAAATCTCCATGTTTTGAATTCTTCTTATTGTCCTAACATATCACTTGAGGTTAGTCTCTTGCAAATGATTAATTTATTTCTAATAAGGTACTTTTTTTTATTAAGGTTTATTTTGATGTGTTTGCTTTTGTTTTCTGAAGTCTGTAAGACTGCCAATGTTGACGGTTCTTAAACTTGACAGCTGCGAGGCTATTACATCAGCCTCAATGGCTGCAATAGCCCATAGTTATATGTTGGAGGTTTGGATTTTTTTCTCTTGAATATATTGTTGTTACCTGGACTTTTTATGTCTTGATAAAAATCTTCTAGCTGCACATATTTATTCTGTTACCTGTTGCAGGAGCTGGAGCTTGATAATTGCCACATGTTAACGTCAATGTCATTGGATCTTCCACGTTTGCAGAAAATTCGATTGGTTCACTGTCGAAAGTATACTGTTATTCTATAATATTCCCCTTTCCTTTCCTTACCAAACCGAAATTGACTTCGTTATCTCGGTGTTTTTTGCTGGATCTTTTTTTTTTTTTGATAGGAAAGGTAGGCCTCTTTAAAAACCCCCTTCATGATTAACGGATCACAAGGTGCTCCTTAATCAGCGGAAGGAGGAAAAGAGTGCCTCATTAATTCATTGATAACCACAAGTTACAAAGAGTTAAAACAACCATACAAGCTATAATTCAAATAAGCAACCCAAAACCTAATAGAAACCCAACTAAAAACCCAGAGATCTATCCAATACCAGCCTTAGCTAAACTGTCAGCCTCAACATTGGCAGACCTAGCAACCCATCTAATACTACTATTCAGTCCATTAACCTTGCCAACAATAGCTGTCACAATGTCTAAGTAAACATAGGGACAACGGTCGATGTTCTTGACCCAATCCACTGCTAATTTACTGTCTGATTCAACAATTAACCTTTCCTTAAACCGCTGCTGGATCGAGTCAAAGAAAGATAACCCTTTCATAATTGCCTTGAGTTCTAACAAAACAGGAGGACCTGGACCAGCAGCCTCTTGAAAAGAGCCCACCACCGAACCATCATGATCTCTAAGAATGCCCCCAACACCACTCTTCCTCCAATCTTCAGTCACAGCCGCATCCACATTCATCTTAATAAATCCTTCTGGAGGTTTAGACCAGGACACAGTTTTGATAATAGGAGAGCTTAATAAGGAGCAGCAATCCCCAAGTGAAGGGTCACAAATAAGAGAGTCCTTAGGGATAGATACAGCCTTGTAGTAAGCTAAGAACCAAGCCGCCAGTCTACACCTTGCCAAAAAGAATAAATCAATCTGATCTACCTTCCCCCCCTCGAACACAATTGCATTCCTACCCTTCCACATTGTCCATAAAACCACCCCCGGAATGAAGGACCAAATTTTCGAATTAGGTACCAATTCATCCCAAGCGACCATAAAGCTGTGAGCATTGTCTTGAAAAACTGAGGAAACTCCCCAGAAAAACAAAAATTTATTCCATAAGGACCACACCACCGAGCAAGAAAAGAATAAATGTGCTGAGGTTTCATCCGCCTCTCCGCAAAAGGGGCAAGCAACATCCACAATAGTTGAAACTCCTATCCTCTTTAGCTCAACTTTAACTGGCAATCTTTGGTGCACGACCTGCCACAAGAAGACCTCCACTCTAGGAGGCACCGTTCCCCTCCAAACATACTTCTTCCAAAAGGGGTCTGTTATACCAACAGGCCTGCATGACTTAACACTCGAACTAACAGTATAGACACCTTCCCCATTGCCAAACCAGACCAACCCATCCGATAACTCCTGAGAAAGAGGTATATTGTGGATTAGGGTCATTAAGTCAGAGTACTGAACCAATTCCCATTCACTCAAATTCCTTCTCAAATTAACATGCCAAGACCAAACTGAAGATCGAAATTCCCCAAACTCATAAAGCTTCCCATTCTTATTTATAGACAGCACATACAACCTCGGAAAAATCACTTTAAGTGGGGAGTCATGTGCCCACCTATCCCACCAAAATCTAATGCTCCCTCCATCACCCACTCTGACTTTAAAGTTGCTCCGAAACTTTGCTCCAAACTGATCATTTTTGAAATGGTTGAGGACCACCGATTTCCAAATCCAAGAAGCATGTGTAGGAAGTTTCTCGTTAAACAGCAGTAAACTGGGATCCAAATTATATTTACAACAAATAACCTTCTTCCACACTGAGTCTTTATCGTTAGCAAACCTCCAAGACCATCTCCCTAAGAGAGCTCTATTCATCAGACTTATATTCATAGCACCAAGACCTCCAACACTTTTATCGGAGCAAACTTTTGTCCAATTGACCCAATGGATTTTCCTAGCCTCCACTCCTCCTCCCCATAAGAATCTGGCCATGATGGAATTCAGCTTAACACTCACTGAAGCAGGCATCTTGAAAAGGGACATGAAATAGATAGGAAGGGAGCCCAAAACTGCCTTCAGTAATACCAACCTCCCTGCCATTGATAGAGTCTTCGCCTTCCATCCGGCTAGCTTTGAATGAAACTTTTGAACTACCGGATCCCACAACATCATAGAGTTTCTCTTAGCACCAAGAGGCAGCCCTAAATATTCTGCAGGAAAATGTCCTACAGGACATCCAATAGCATTAGCCCACTGAAGAAGCTCTTCCTCATTAATATTAATCCCAAATAATCTGCTCTTAGACAGATTAAGTTCCAGACCAGTCATAATTTCGAACACCCGAAGGATCCTCTTAACATTAACAATCTGGGTCTTCGAAGCACTACAGAAAATGATTAGGTCATCTGCAAATTGCAGATGAGATAAGTTGACTGAGGTCTCGTCTTTACCAACCACCAGACCACTGAAAAGGCCCGAAGATACTGCTTTGCGAAGCATCAGGTTAAGCAGTTCTCCAACGAGGTTAAACAACAGAGGGGACAGGGAACAACCCTGCCGGAGGCCTCTAGCCATAGGAAATTCATCAGTAGGGACCCCATTAACTAAAACTGACACCGAAGCAGTTGACACACACATCCGGATCCAACTACACCATTTAGAACCGAACCCCATCTTCGCCATAACTTTAAATAAAATGTCCCAATCTACCGAATCATAAGCCTTTTTAAAGTCTACCTTAAATACACAACCCTTCAACCCTCGCTTCCTCCATAAATCAATTCCCTCATTAGCAATAAAAGAGCAATCCAAAATTTGTCTCCCAGGAATGAAAGCAAATTGAGACTCACTGATTATATCATTGATGCAACATCTCAATCTTCTCGCGAGGCACTTAGATAGGATCTTATACATCCCACCTACAAGGGAGATAGGTCTGAAATCATCTAAACTCCCAACATTAGAACCTTTCGGTATGAGAGTTAAGAAGGAATGGTTAATACCATGCTCCCACTCCTTACCCAAATAGAAGTTGTGGAAGAATTTCAATATATCACCTTTCAAGCTAAGCCAGAATGTCTTAAAGAAACCCATGTTCAACCCATCTGGCCCAGGGGCTTTATTACTATCACAAGAATTAATGGTCCCCCAAATCTCATCTTCCGTAAAGTCCTTCTCTAGCAATAGGTTCTGTTGCAGGGAAATAATTGCGAACTCTAAGTTAATACCCTCCACTTCCATTGTTGAGCAACAATTAAACGCTTTAAAGAAATGCTCCCTGACCCTAGACTTGATAAGACCTGGATCTTTGGTGATAACACCATCAACATTTAAAGCATACATAGAGTTCAACCTCCTCCTAATGGAAGCGCAAGTGTGAAAAAACTTTGAATTTCGGTCACCCCCTTTGACCCACTTCTCTCTAGACTTTTGTTCCCAAATCTGCTCTTCGATTCTAAGAAGTCTCCAAAGTTCATTTCTCAAAAGCCTCAACTCTGTCGAAATGACAACATCATTGGAAGGAGGATGATGTTGCATCCCCTTTTCAATCTGATGAATTTTGTCCTCTAACATAGAGATGTCCTTCCGAGGAAATTGATTTCTATCTCCAGACCAGCACTTAATGGCAGACTTTGTATTCCTAAGCATACTCAAAATTCCAGCTCTTGAATTTTCTTCTTTGAACAGCTTGACAGACTCAACAACCATCTTCTCAAAACCATCCTCAGACAGTAGATAATTGAACAGCCTAAATGGTCTCTTACCCCAATTATCTGCCCCCCTCTCTAGGAAAATTGCATTATGATCGGAGATAGATTTAGGCAAAAGAAACTGGTTGATACCGGAAAATTCTGCTGAGAAATTACAGTTCACCAGAAACCTATCTAGTCTTACAACCGTCGGCAAATCCCGATAACTGCTCCATGTGAAATTCCCCCCAACAAGAGGCAGATCAATAAGTCCCGTTTGCTGAATAAAATGATTAAAAATTTCCAGTGAATTCCTATTATGACCTCTGCCTAACTTCTCCTCTTCATTCAAATAGGCATTGAAATCCCCTCCCACACACAAAGGAATACTGAACCCGTTTAAAAACAGTCCCAGTTCATCAAAAAAAGCAACCTTCTCTTCCTCCACAGACGGGCCATAAACGTTAATGAAGCCACACCTAAGGTGATTAGACTTGATCTTTCCAAAAACAGCAATAAACCTCCTATGAATAAACTGATCGTCAATCTCAAAAAAATTATCATCCCAACAACTTAACATACCTCCAGATGAACCTATTGCTGGAGACTCAACGAACCCCTGCAACCCATTCAAACCACTCCTCCTTAAAAAAGACATTGGTAATTTTTCAAGTTTTGTTTCTTGAAGAAAAAGAAACGACGGTTTCTTCTCATAAACAAGTTTTTGCACAACTCTATGTTTCTCTTTTTTACCCAGACCCCTGACGTTCCAAGACAAGATACTTAGCTTAGTCATGATACTCAAACAAAAAGAACCCAGAACTCCCATATACAAATCTCAAGGTCAAATAGCCCCACACAACCCTTTCTCCAATTCAACAATCTTTTGTATAAAAGCTTCCTTCCCCTCCTTGAAAGATATCCCCAGCATCTTACTAATTTCCCATGTAGCAATTGCTTCCTCAACCAGCAAAGGAAAGGCTGATGAGGAAACAGTCTCAACACTAGCATGATCAACAGCTTCCCTAAATAGAGACCTTTTAATTCTCCTGTATGGTCTGCTCACCCAAGAACTGTCCAATTCCTTTATCGAAGAACCAGCAGCCTCGGGAACATCAGAAAGACAACCTCTAGAACTTAAATCTCTTCCTGTCTCACCATTGAACACCCCTCGTGACTTTTCCTTACAATCCTGCACATTATTACAAGTTTTCACAACCTGATTCCAGATCTTTCTAGACTTCGACCTACTATAAGTTTTATTATGACTTCTGATGAATTTCCTTCCAACCGGAGCAGTCTTCATGGATAACGAACTTGCAGAGCAGGTTTGTGACCCATCTCTTAAACTTATCAACTTTAAACCAACCGGAGCCCCTCCTCCAGCTTCAGCCCCTACTAGGTCCTTAACTGTATCTGATGAAAAAGGACTATGGCCCATAGAGTTTGGGCAGTATTCTTGCTCCAGACCAGCCAACTGAAGCCCTCCAAGGCCTGAGTTAGGCCCACTCTCCCGGTCAACATTATCAAGCTTAAAAAGATCCCCCCCCATACTTTTCCCGCTTTCCTTACTTTCAAAAAGATCTTCCGACTTTTCATTGGGAGAGAAGTCAACTCTCTCGGAATCTGTGACAATACCACGTTGTGAGTCTGCAACCCACTCTAGCACCCTGTTATGGATTTCTGACATTTCCTGACATCCCACGTGACCTCCATGCTGTGCCTGCCCATCCTCTGTGCTCCATCCGGAGGAGTTCTCCACCGAAGGATCCTCTAGAACAACCTCTTCAGCCAGATCTGAGAAGTCAGGAAAGAAATCATCCCCCCCATCCACCTTAATTTTTATCAGAAATTTCCTTCCATTCGTAATAACTGAAGTATGATCAGGGATGTCAAAAGGGCTGACTACCCTAAGAAGCATCTGTGCAACTCTGCAGTCCACTCTCTGAGCAGTTTCATCTTTAATCTTCACTAACTTGCCCCACCTGGATACCACCCTAGTGAAGAACGGAACCGACCAGCAATTTAAAGGAACTCCTATCATGGATATCGTACAAAAAGCTCGGGGAATGCTTTCCTCATCCAATACCGGCTCCAACCTTTCAAACCAGAAGGACAAAGCTTCCCATTTTCCTTCCATTGCTAACTTCTTCTCTTCCACCGACTGGAACACAACCAGGCACGCATTTTTAGAAAAACCCCACCTAACAATCTTTACGTTGATGCCCTCGTTCCTTAACGCTTTCTGCACAACATGAAGTTCAAAAATATCTTTGAAGATACCAGTAAGAGACGATCTAAGCCAGACCCTATCCTCCACTGGGATGGCAACATCCTTAGAATTATTCAGCTCCTTCGAATTAAAATGAATACCCTCTTGCACACCCTCTGACTCTTTATACACCCCCACCACCACCTCCTTGTAGGACCTCCCATCATGAAACTTATCCAGCATCTCCATCCTCCTCGCCCTGTCAGCTTGAGGAAGCAAACTTCTACCCATTCCCCCACTGATACCAGCACTATTAACTCCATCAACCCTCCCATCTTTCTGTCTCTTCGACCCAGATATTTTCTCATATTTGGCTACAGCCACTAAAATCCTCCTCCCATCAATCAGTACATTGTTCATCTTATCCACTGCATTACACAGATCCTCCTTACTTGCAAAATGGACGAAAGCAAACGTGCTTGCCTTATACTTCGGTCTATTATTGATAAACGGAATGAACACCTTAATAACCTTACCAAAATGACTAAAACGAGCCCATAAATCACTACGACTCACTCTCCTGCTAAGATTATCAACGAACGCTGACCAAATAATTCCACCATGAACCTCTCTAAAGTTACCACCAGGACCCAAACTTTTGACGGACTCTCTCTCTCTCTCACTAGTTCTCTCCATCTTTTGACCAGAATACTCAATCTTTCCTTTTGCTGGATCTTTCTTTTCTCTTTGATTTTATTATGATTATAATTTTGGCATTGCAGATTTGCTGACTTGAATTTACAATGTTTCATGCTATCATCTGTGACGGTGTCCAATTGCACTGCTCTTCATCGTGTTAGCATCAGTTCAAATTCACTTCAAGTATGCTTTTTTTATGATTTGGTCTGTGTTGTTACTGTCTTGGGGATAAATATGATTTTTATGTTGTACGGTTGATTTTATTAAAATACAGAAATTAGCGTTGCAGAAGCAGGAAAGCTTGACAATGTTAGCACTGCAGTGTCAATGTTTGCAAGAAGTTGACCTAACAGATTGTGCATCTTTGACAAATTCTATATGCAATGTATTTAGTGATGGCGGTGGTTGCCCTATGCTAAAATCAGTAGTTCTGGATAACTGTGAGGTATGTGAATGGATTTTTGCTGTATACTGAACCATTTTTCAGTTATAAGATTAGCTTCATCTCAGCTGATTGATCACTTCAAATGGCACCATAGTTTTATCTCTTCAATTCTGGTCTGCATCTAGCATTACTTATGAGTTTCCAATATTCTTTGATTGTTTTTGGTGCTATCAAATGAATGTAGCTCCTTGGTTCCTGCATTGTGTGCGTCATTTTACTGTGCTTTCTGACAATTTCTTGTTGACCAGAGCTTGACAACAGTGCAATTATCTGGTACATCTTTAGTCAACCTTTCTCTGGTTGGTTGTCGTGCTATTACTGCTCTGGATCTTGCATGTCCTTGTCTTGAGAAAGTTTGCTTAGATGGCTGTGATCATCTTGAGAGAGCGTCATTTTGTCCTGTAAGTTTAGAGCGACTCTAGTCGACTTTCTCTGAGATAAATTTGCTTATATATTAATCAACTACTTGATACGTAAAAACGTAAACGCTGAAGCCTTTTTTTTCCCCTTTTAGGCTTCTCTTCGGTCACTTGACCTCGGAATATGCCCCAAATTGAACACTCTCAAAGTTGATGCTCCATGTATGGTGTCACTTGAGTTGAAAGGATGTGGTGTATTATCTGAAGCATCAATAAATTGCCCCCTATTGACATCACTTGATGCTTCCTTTTGCAGGTTTGTTGCAATTGCTACCTTCTTTTTATGATACTTTGTTTTGGCCTATGGTTGATGCTTCTATTTAATTTTATATGCAGCCAACTCAAAGATGATTTCTTATCTGCAACCGCTGCTTCCTGCCCTCTGATTGAGTTGTTAATATTGATGTCTTGCCCATCTATTGGTTCTGACGGTCTTTTCTCTTTGCGCTGGCTTCCGAATTTAACTACACTTGATTTGTCATATACCTTTTTGACGAATTTGCAGCCAGTTTTTGAGTCTTGTTTGCAGCTGAAGGTAACTTTAAAATTCTTGATATATCAGCATTGATTCATCATGCAAGGCATATTGGTTCTTTTCATGTTAACCTCATTGTACTCCATATTGTATTAAGGTTACATTGGTTTGTGCTCTTCGTAATCCAAGTTTTCTCATCACACAAAATTTGCTTGTTTATGCTTTCAGTGATATATTGCTATGCACTTTAGCTCTCTTTTTCTTTCTTGTAGGTGTTAAAATTACAAGCATGCAAATATCTAGTGGACACATCACTGGAGCCTCTTTACAAGGAAGGTGCTTTAGGAGAACTCCGGGATTTGGACTTGTCATACGGTTCCCTGTGCCAGTCTGCCATAGAAGAGCTTCTTGCTTATTGCACACATCTTACCCATGTGAGCTTGAATGGATGTATAAATATGCATGACCTTAATTGGGGTTCTACTGGTGTTGGATCTAAGTCACTACGTATACATAATGGATCTAGTACGTTTTCTTTTGAGAACATCAATGAGCCAATCGAGCAGCCGAACCGTTTACTGCAGAACCTCAACTGCATAGGTTGTCCAAATATTAGGAGAGTGCTCATCCCGGAAGCCGCATGTTGCTTACATTTATCATCCCTAAATCTTTCTTTGTCCGCCAATTTAAAGGAAGTTGACCTGGCTTGTTACGAATTATCCTTTCTTAATCTAAGGTATTGGCACTTCTTTTTATGTTGGTTCGTTTATATTTTATCTGGCATCCATCTGAACTTTTATGCCTATTTCTTAATTCAGCAATTGTTGCTCTTTGGAAATTTTGAAGCTGGGATGTCCTATGCTTACCAGTTTGTTTCTTCAGGTATGTATTCTCAGTCTCTGAAACCTGTAGTGTTTACTATTTAGGTCCTTTATTTTTCTCCCCTTGTTCTTTTGGTCTATCCGTAGTGTATTCTCGAAGATGCTTGGTTGTTATTACCTCTTTCACAAGATTTCTTGTGTACTTCTATTTATTTACCTTATGGGTTGTGAAGAAGTTATGTTCCGTGTATTTTGGTATTTTATCTAGGAACTAGTTAATGATTCATATAAGGTCTTCATTTGCTGATGCTGACCTATCTCTGCAATTATTGTTTTCCCAAATATTCTTCCTTCAATTTTCTGTTCCTTTCATATCAACTTGTTTTGTCACGAACAAATGTGTTCATGTGTGTATCTCCATACTTATAGTTAATTTGCAGCCATGATTTCCTCATCTGATACTGGTTTATTTTGTGCATCTGTCTTTCTAAGTCTTGCAACATCGAGGAAGAAACAGTCGAAACTGCTATATCACAGTGTAGCATGCTGGAGACTTTGGATGTTCGCTTTTGTCCAAAGGTGAGCTTTCTCCCCCCCCCCCCTTTTTGGTTTTGCTCCCATCTATATGCTCTTCTTAATTCGTATACCATGCGTTGCTTTAATCATAGACTTGAATGCCTATATTTCCCTCAAGGGGGAAAGATTGAATTATCAAAATTTTCTCATCTTGTGGTTGATAGATTTGCTCAATGAACATGGGGAGGTTACGTTCGATTTGTCCGAGCTTGAAGCGAATATTCAGTAGCTTGTCACCTGCATGATGAGATTGTTGTGAAGAAATTTTATTGCCCTTCGGAAGTGGATAATGCCACCTGTATGGTAAGCCATGTTTGCATGTAAATGGTAATCATCCTTTTATTCAAATATATTAATATATAAAGATATATATACATATAGGTACTTGACCTACTCCCGTCCCTGTGCAACAGTTAATAAAATTACTACCAATATTTCTATATATTCTCTGTATTGGTTATCTTTCTTCTTTTGTGAGATTGATCATGATTAGTGTTAATATTACACAAAGATAGCCAAGTATTAGGGTTTACGGTCAGGTAATTATAATGCGGACCATATATATATATTCAATGACGAATCTAGAAATATTTTTTAGAGTTGACACATATGTTAGTAACATGATTTTTGTACAAGGTGGAGTAAAACAGATAATTATATGAAGGAAATTTGAATTTCAAGGTGATCATTTATCCACCCTCATTCAAGGGTGGATCTGTGACTATATATGTTTTCATGTAAATAATGCATGTAATTATAGTATTGATTCCAATTGCTTCATTTCCGGGTCTAATTCCCGAGGCAGCTGGGAGTTGTCTTCATCAGGGGCTCCATGGGCATCGTCAATTTCCTCGGCTTGATTTAATACATGAGATGGAACTGTTTTAAGCAGGCTGCCAATGGAAAAATGAAGATTCCTTGTGGGATGTTCCAAGCACGACAATATGTATACACAGATATGGAATACCTGTCGAGTGCATTGAGGGCAGTACCAATCTTCGCCTTCATTGCTTTTACCGAGGCATCTGGCTTGTTTCTTGAGGCATGTAGAAGCAAGGAATCTAGTTCCTCTAATACTCTAATCAACAATAGGGACTGGTTAACATGCTGTCAAAGCTTGGTTTTTGGAAGAGGATGAGAATTGCTAACATGTGGCAAAAATAAGGCCTTTTCATTGTTTTTGGGTTTTTTAAGATTGAACTAGGTCAGTCAATCTGACTTGAACCCAGTTTGATGCAAGATTAATTTGCTTCAACTCGAATTCAAATGTAAAATGACATGAACTCAAAGTGATCAACATCTGAAACAATATGAACTTGAAAGGATCCAAAAATGATACCACCTAAAAGTAAACTCGAACTTGGGATGACTTGAACCTAAAATTTATTCTGCTTAAAGTGATTTGAAAATTTTAACACAACTGACTCGATAATTTTAATGCCTGAATTGATCCGACCTAAAACTAACTAAACCTATCTAATTAACATGTCCATGCAAACCTACGATGGAGAGATGAATGGGACAATATGAGTGATATCCCTGTCAAAATTGAACATAAATTTTCAGAACTTTCACCAATAGTTTTACGTATTACCTTAGACATTGATCGACGTCTTTGAAAGCATTTTCGCCATTCCCAGCATCAGAAGCATGCTGTGCCACCTGAAGTTCCATGGAAATTGTTCAAAACCTCATGAACTCAGTAGAATCGCAAATGCAGATAGCTTAAAGTAAACAACAGATATAGCACTTCTGAAACGCAGAAGCTTCTCTTTTCCCGAAACTTTATTGTTCTTGGGTCCTAATATATCTTGGAATGAGCTCTTGAATGTGCCAACAACTAATATAACAAAGAAATGAGAAGATCGAACAATAATCTACAACATTTCAACTTACAGCTCGGATATTTACTCGCAGAGATGCATCCGGACCGGAACTTAATGGGGATCTGCAAGTTGCATATTCTGGTTTATCATCAACTTCCAAAGTTGTTTCTGGAATGGTTAGATGTTTATAAATTACAAGTTTTCACCACATTCTTCAATCTTCATTTAATGAAACCATGACAAGCGCAAGAATTTTAAAATGGAAAAAGGGTTTATAAAACAGGAACGGGGAGGTTCATTTACTGGGATAAACAAAGGTCATCACTAAAATCAAGCAAAAAAAAACCACCACAGAAATGAGATTAGACTTATGTTCCTCATCTAATTAACATCCCAAACTAGAAACAAGAAACAAAACCATTCATCTAGCAAAAGAATCAACTAACATAGGGTTGTAAATAAACAAAACATTCAATGAACGGTTTGATTTCGGCTCATTTATCAAGCTAAGCAAGATGCATATGAGCAATATGTTCCTAAACAAGTTCATTTATGTTTGTTTAAAACTTATTTAATAAATAATTCAAAACTAGTTGATGTTTGCCTTTCTACTAATAAACAAACTTTTAACTATTTGCGAGTATATTCAATTATATATTCATGAATATGTTCGTCTAATGTCCACAAACATATACTGTTTAACACAGAGATGGATTCATGAAAATAATAGCTTAAAAGTTAGCTTTGAAGTAAGTCTTTGGAAGACTGTGATGGATTCCTAAATGAAAGCAATAAAATCCGTACATTTGGGTACAAGGAGGAAGTGAGAGAGAAACAGAGATATTGAAACCGATCGCCTGCTCTCCCGCCATTTAAAATTTATCTTTGAAGTAAGTCTTTGGAAGCCTGTGATGGATTCATAAATGAAACCAATAAAATCCGTACATTTGGGTGCAAGGAGGAAGTGAGAGAGAAACAGAGATATTGAAACCGGCCGCCTGCTCTCCCGCCTTTTCGGTGGCGACGGGGCGGACCTGACCGAGAATTGCTTTGGTTTGGCGGGGGTGGAGTTGGAGGAGGAAGAGCAAGGAGCGGAGGTAGGAAGCGAAGGAAAGGGTTGCCGCCAATTATGGCCGTTCCTACGCAACAACATCGGTGGATTTGTCGCCGGAGAATAACACCGAGATAAAAGAACGGGTCTTATCCGTTAGTTGATATGTCTTTTAACGTTATTTGAAAATAACAAATTTTAGCTTCCAGTTTCTTTAAAAAAATTAAAGAGTAAAGTACACAATTTCCCCGACTATGGTCTGTCGGTTGCTATTTTTTTATCGACTTAATTAATTATTAAAAGTTATAAAATATCACTCGATTATATAATATAATTTTATTGAATTATTGAATTATTAAAAATTATAAAATAATAATTCGACTATATATATGTTTTAAATTTATCATTTTTGTTAAAATTTGACATCTGCCTAAGTTAAATGTTAACATGTTGAATATAATATAATATATTAAAGTCATATTTTAATGATGTCTATTGGTATCATCCTTGCTTTCAAACACGATCTCGATAGCATAATATTTCAAACACTGACTCGACGATATAATATAAATAGAGAGTCTATCCACAAAATAAAACTTAAACAGTTATGAGATCATGTTTTATCATATCTCAATCAATATATTAACGTCGAACTCACACGATTGCCAATTATTAACAAAAAATATAATTTCGAAATATATGAGTGGTCGAAATATATGAGTGGTCGAGTAATAATTTTATAACGTTTAACAGTTATGAGTAATAATTTTTAATAGTTGAGGGACTTAATAAGGTAACACCTTATAACCTAGGAACCATTTGTATACTTTACCCAAAATAGAGTTAATTCATTGTATACCCCTAAATTATAACCCTCATTTCAAATTAATTCTTAAATTTTTGAAAATTTTAATTTCATCCTCAAATTTTAACTTTCATTCTAAATTGATTCCAAAATTTGAACATTCCAACATAATATAAAGGATAACACTCCCCTTTACTTTTGAGACCTATTAATAAGTTTATCACTAAAATTTTAAATATGGATTATTAATTTTTTTTATTAATGTTATAAAAATCAAAACGATAGTCAAACAAACTAGAATGACAATTCAATATGAATTAGACAAGAAATTCAAAATTATTAATAAAATATAAAAACTCAGATATCGTTTAATCGTTTGAAACATCATTTTTGTACATTAATTTACATTTTCTATAGTTTAAAACGATTCACATTACTTTTAGAGGCATAATAATAAAAGTACTCTCAACATTTACATAAATGATAATGTTAATTAAAAAAAGACCGTGTTATACTTGTTGTTAACATAGTACGTGTCATATCATCTAAAATGATAATTTGACATATGACATGTCACCAAAATGATAACGTTACATATGTCATATAATCAATTGAATACATGAAAATATTATGTCGGTAACATGGGTTGATTGTTAATCAATTAATAATTTTATCAAATAGGGTCTATTTTACTAAAATTGAAATATTAAGGACTAAAATACTAAAAACATATGATAAAAAATGATTATTTGTACAAACATTAATTCTCGATTCGATTAGTTAAACAGATGGATTAATGTAGTTCAACTAATTCGACCAGTTATTCCGATCTGATTCATACAATGATGTTTTTTTCACTTCAAAAAGAAAAGGAATATGCTTAACCATAAAAAGAATAAAGCGTGTAAGGTTGAATTTAGTGGTGAAGTTCATTGTGGAGGCCCATCTGACTCACACATCCAATACCTAATTGACTATTAGGCCAAACCCTAACCCTAACCCCAAACACAATTCTTTTCCAACACCAAATTTCAAAGTCCCCACTTCACGTTTCACATCCAGGATCTCATTTTTCATTCCAATTTCATCTTCACATCAACAAATAACTTTTAATTTGAATAAACATATTTTACATCTACCGTCCGATCAAAAGCCAAATTCCACGTGGCAAAATCAGAGTCACCCCAATGTCAAAAACTAGACATTTATGCTCCAATTATTACTACCCTTTGAATAGTAATTATCAGTACTGAAAGAAACGTGAAGAAAAAAAAAACCAATCTTTCTCTCGGGGCTCTAGGTTTAAACAGATTAAAAAGGGCACGCTTCTCGAAATTTTCAGTTACGATTGTTCGCGGGCGTATCGAATATCGAAGAAGAACAAGAAACTGGGAAATGGATGATGTGGGGTTTCCCGAGAAAACTGATTCTCGGGAAAGTGATGAGAATTTGGGAGAAAACGAAGATGAAACTACCGGTTTTAGTACGCAGCAGCAGCGGAATGCATCTTTGAATCTCGATCTTAACCTGCTGCCCGAGACTGTGCCAGTGGATTCTGATCCTTTGTTTCCCCGGTTACCAACATTTGATTTCCTCAAGTCTTTTATGGGCATTGGTTTGAGAATGGAAAGAGACCCCGATGCCGAAATCGCCAGTTCTTCAAGTAAAAAGAGGAAAATTTATGTTGCATTAACACAAGAGGAAATTCAGCATGATTTGGAAATGATCAGAACATGGGGAGAGAAACAGGTTGAGCCAAAGAACAATAGGTTTGTTCGTCATTTTGAAGACAAGGTTGCTATTAGAGAAAGACTGGAAAGGGAGAAAGCAGAAAGATTCCATGAGATTGCTAAACAATTTGCCCTAGACCATGCATGTGGTCAAGTTGAATCTAGGTGCCTTTCGAAATATTCTACCAAGAATGCTGATCCTGCTGCTTTGAAGAGCGTCATCATTGATGATGACGATGATGACAAAGAACAATTAGGAACTCCTTTCGGTAAGGCAATGGAGGTGATTAAAACCCGAATTTCCAGAAAGAAGTTATCAAGTGGTGGATTAGGAGTTGAGTTCAAATGGGTACCAAAGAATGTTAAAAGATCACCTTTTATGGGTCGTAAGGTTCCTTCTTTGCTAGACCTTAGTTTGTGTACTCTTGCGAAGAATGCCGATGTGATTGTATCACTTGACCATGTTCCTGATATGCTGAGGCATAAGCTCAGTCGATTGTTGTGTGATTCTAGGAATATGGATGCTCATTTTTTGCAACTTCTTGCTAGTGGATTGCCAACAGAGATTCGAATCAACGACTGTTCGCAAGTGACCGAAGATGAATTCACCAAGATATTTGGCTGCTGTGATACCAACAACTTAACTGTAAGTGAACTTGAGCACATTTTGTTCCATTTGGTTTTAGCAATATATTTTGCAACTTGACTGTAGGGATCATGTGGTTTTAGCTGTGAAGATTATTGTTGACCCTGTTATCCTGCATATGAGTCCTATAACTGTAGGGATAATTTGACATTGCAATTGAAAGATCAGTACTTTCTTATACCTGGCTGTCAGTCGTTAATGGTGTTTTCGGGCTCTGGAGGCAGGTGTTGCAGCTTGACTTGTGTGGATCTTGTATGCCGGATTATGTACTACAAGATACGTTAGCCCGTTCATCAAACAGCCTTCCTGCTTTAGCTACCTTGTCTCTGAATGGCGCACATCGCATGGCGGACAAAGGGCTAAATATGCTTGCATTGTCTGCCCCTGCTCTGCAGTCAATAAATCTGAGCCATTGCTCCCTTCTCACATCTGCTGGTATCAAGAATCTAGCTAACTGCTCTGAATCCACCTTAAGAGAGCTTTATTTAGATGAATGTCATAATATTGAAGCCATGGTAGTATTGCCCGCACTGAAGAAGCTTAAATGTCTGGAAGTTCTGTCAATGGCTGGAATTCCAACTGTCTGTGATGATTTTGTCATCCAAATGGTTGAAGCATGTGGCAAAAATATGAAAGAGCTTGTTTTCACTAATTGTTTGTGAGTTATCTAAGAACATTCTAATAAATTCAGAAGTATATCTATCATCAGATTTGGTAACAGGTGGTGTTTTTTGATGCAGGGAATTGACTGATGTATCTATCAAATCTGTGGGGGGAAATTGTTCCAAATTATGCACAATTGACCTTTCTTACTTGTCGAAGTTGACGGATAAATCAATGAGATATCTTGCCAATGGCTGTAGATCAATTAGCAGGCTTAAACTGAGCCGCAACGGTTTCAGGTTTCCTTCTATGCCATCATCTGTTCATTTCCTAGCCTCTGTAGATAATGATACTTTCATTGTGACACTGTTTTATGTCGTTCTCACATGTTTAATCATTCCATACTTGTCAATCACGCTGCGGATTCTCGTATGTAAATTTCCACTTTCTTTCGACTTTGAGGGAAGCAGTACCTGTAATTGATGTATTTCGTTTTATACAACAGCGATGAAGCTATTGCTGCCTTCTTGGAAGCCTCAGGAAGTGACCTAACTGAACTTTCCCTGAACAACATTCCCTTGGTGAGATATCAAGTTACCGATATGCCTTGCCATCTTATTGTTTTGGCTTTTCTTTTTGCCGGCACCAAAGATACTTACTATCTTAATGCTTTCATTATACCACATTCACGTTGTATCTGTCGAACTGCTTCAGCTTCTCCTCATATTGCAATAATTTGGTAATCGGTAAACAACTTATGGTGTCGAACAACTTGTAACAGGTGGGACTGAACACTGCATTGGCGCTTTCCAAATGCTCGAGGAAATTATTCAGTTTGGACCTATCATGGTGCCGTAAATTGAACGATGAAGCACTAGGGCTGATTGTAGATAGTTGCTTGTCACTGAAGCAGCTAAAACTCTTCGGCTGTACACAGGTAAATTTGCCAAACTCTCTGTCTCTAAAAAACATCCTGTTACTGCAGAATTGGCATTTCAGGCCAATCTATTCATGTGCAATTTCTAAACAGAATGCTTATTTCTTCCTCGTGATAAAACTGATCTAAACTGCAAGAATGCGTAAATGCAAATTCAAATAGATGGGGAAACATCTCATATTTTGATAGTTTGATACCAGATATTTGTGCTTCTGCAAATCAAAATGTGTTTCTTATCCGGGGCCTTTTCGTGTTCAATGCAGCTCACGGATGTGTTTCTAAAAGGGCATTCGAATCCCCAGGTTCAGATCATTGGACAGGAGCTGAGAACAGTATCGAAATTTCTCGATTTGCTCAAACCCCAAGAACCTCCACTGCGGTATTCACCTATCGGTAGCTTACACTCACTAACAAGGTTACCCAGTTTGCTAGGCTCAGCCTCATTGATTGACATATACAAAAAGCAAGATTGATTCATTCAAAGCCTTCAAGAAGCATACCTACAAAACAATTACTAAACACCAGATCGAGCTAATCTCTTTAGTGCTACACCTCACACTTCTTTTCGTGTCCTACCACATTCACAATCATTCAAAACCTGTATAATGGTCAATGGAATATTTTGGATAGTTTACATGATATGATCAAATTAAAGAGATAGAAATCTTCTCCATAGTTGAGAGTGTATTTCAGTTGATTCTATATGGTTTTATTCTATTTTCTCAGCTGCAAACCTTATCCTTGATCCTTCAAGGAGCAGAATCTATCTGCAAAGTTCCTCTTTTATTAACAAACATTTTCATTCTAGTGATTACTGCAGATGATTAAACAAGAATAAAAAGAATAATGATTTCCGGGTTTCACAGAATAGTTTCATAGCAAAAGAATTTCCAGTGATACAAAATAGAGAGTAAAAAGGTTTAAAGGACCTCCATGTAACTCTAAAAGGAAGAACAAATTTATTTGTTGGCATTGAGTTCAGAATTCTTTGACCGGCTCTGGTTGAGTCGTCTCATCCATTTCTTCTGCGACGAGGTTAAAGAGGTGAACAATGAAGGTGACAAAGCTCTTCTCGGAGGTTGTCCAGCCACCGGAAGCTCGGCCGGAAGTGCAGCGGCAGTGCTAGTAAATGCGTTTAGAACTATAAATGCAAGTATTGGAGATAGATCCAATGTTCCTCCTAATGGTGGAATTATCCCCCGGAATATGTTCAGGTACGGATCACATATAGTACTGAATCAAAAACATAAATAAACTTATTAGCTTTTGAATATTAAGATTTAAAGTATTTCAAAAGTCTGGTTTAGTCCCTCTAATCATGATTCAATCTGTTTACTTTTTTGGTAGCACCACCGTATTCGACCCATTAACTGACTAATCACGATGATATAAGTAGTCTTCAATGATGTTAAATATCTAAATTAACAACTGGCATTATAGAAATAGATAACAAATTGTCACTAAATTCAAATTTAGGCATATTAGAAGGATTGAAACCATAATTTTAACTATTTCTTGAGATTGATGGAATGAACTGGAAGTACCTGAGGGGACTAACAATGGCTGGAGGTGAGTTAGGGAACCAAGTCAAAACCAGCCTTACAATCAACAGCGTATTGTAAATGTTTAAGAAATTTAGGATTCCATTTGCAACCACGACTCCTGCCACTGAATCACCGGGCAAAACCGCCGCAAAATTGTGATTTGAAATCGGAGAATAATTCATAATCTTCAAGTATTCATTTCTGCAAGTTTTTACCTACCGGAAAAAATTGAAAATGTAAGTCTTCACAAGTCAAAAACTATAATCGTAACTGAAAGAAATTAGATAACAAAAATCAGTTACCTCATTGCAGAAGCTCTGGAATTCGGAGGATAAGGAGATAATGTTTTCGAAAACCGGGTTTTGCTTGAGGAAATTCCAGAACTTATCGGCAGTTGAAACGATTGAATTGTGAAGGTGATGGATTACATTTTCAGGGACAAAGGGAACGAGATTGGGCTTTGATGACGATGATGGCCTAGAAAATGGAGGCGCGAATGGTGTTTGAATCAATGCCGAAGAGACTGGCAAGGATCTGGGAACTGAATTTGGGGATTTGGATTTTGGGGTTTGTTTGCTAAGCTCGGTGATGGCCATTTTACCCACCATTTTCCTTTGAAGAGTAGAGAAAATCGAGAAGCTTTGCTTTCGAGTGATGAAGAGAGGAAGAAGAAAGAAAGAAGATAGCGTTTCTCCATTTTTAAGTGGATTGGGATTTTTCTAAAGAGATATTTTAATTTTTAACCTACGTGGCACGAACTTATTTGCCACCATGCTTTTGTATTATTTAAAATGCTACGGTCTTTTTAAAAAAAATATATATATATCTCAAAACTAAATCACATACAATTAAAAATCCGTACAACATATGTTTATTACGACTAACCTACTTTCGTTTGTTTAGTAGTTAAGAACAATTATAAATTAATATATGTTTATAATTTCTTTAACTATTCACACCACTTCGAATTTTCTATTTCAAATTTAAGATTTTAAAACTTATTTTATTTTTTTTCTTTAAAATTTATGAAAAACACATTATGATCTCATTGATGAAGCTTGATCTTTCAATTAGCGGAGGAGCTGATCGGTCCCTAAACTTCATCAGTAGTATGAGCCTTTATTTAGCAGTTCACGTAAAGACATCCATTTATGTAAACTTATGACCTCATTAATCGTTCAAAAAGCCGGGGTCGAAGCAACCAAGCAGACACGGATGATAATGCTCTCATTTAGGGATTATCATGAGATTCCACCTTGATAGATTCTAATTCCATCCAATTTTATATGTTTGGTTTTTTAAAAAATCGAGGTTTTTTGTGAAAAATATTATATCCAGAAAAATAATATAAGATAATTATAATAGTATAATTTTTTATATTTTTAAAATTAAGTTCTTATTTTACTTATATATATAATCAAATTAAGTTTTAGATCGAGTGAAATCTCCTTAAACTTATATGAAATTAGACGACGAGTTAAAAGATAGAATACTAAAATCAAATTTGAATTAAGTAAAAATTTGACCCCATCTAATCTATGTCTATCTCTTATCTGGGTCTACATGGACGTGATTGATGTGCATATAGATAGGGGATGGCATTTAAGTTGCATTGCATTGTGGTAAGTTTGTCAGGTCCTTTCCCACTTCATCTCTGCCATGCCATTGCTTTGTGTAGTGCTTAATGAACACTGAAAAGGATCTTCCCTCGTTTCATCTCCATCAAGCCGCCCCACATTCCCTGGGAACGGAGTAGAATTGAAGACACCACTCACGTTGAACAAGCGCCTGTACATGCGGAACCATCATAGCCATATTTCCCACTCCAGGTTCACAATGGAGAATGGAGATCGCTTCCTTGCTGTCAGTTTCGACAATAAGCTTTCGAATATTCCTTCCCAGGCCAATTGAAGTCCGATATAAATACCCCAGAGCTCGGCATCAAGTACCGAACAAAAACCAATGCTCTTTGAAAAGCCTGTAACCCAATTGCTAGAATGATTCCGAATGAGACCTCCAAAAGCAGCCCAGCCTGTCGAACTTTGTCTTGCTCCATCGGTATTTAGCTTGAACCAAGGCGCTGGTGGAGCAGTCCAGCAACCGTTCCTATCTACACGTGGGGCACGATTAATCTTCTCCGAATTCCTTTTTACGAGGGCTCGAACTGCTTCTCTTGTAAGACGAGAACTTTGCAGCAACACACTCTCACTTGCGATAAAGTACATATCCCATATCTCATCATGTATTGGAAAATAGTGTGGCTGCCTTAGATTCTTATCAATCCAGGACAGCATATCACTATTCATAAACTCATAAAAAAGATTCGATTTGATTACATCTTTCCATGTTGCCATAGCCATTGGACAGTCACACAGAATATGAGAGATGCTTTCAACGGGACCAACACACAAAGAGCAGCTTGCATCCATGGATAAATGCCGACGGACACGTTCCTCATTAGAGAGTAATCGACCTTTACAAATTGTCCATAGCAAATACGAACCCTTGGAAGGCCCCTGAACTTTTTCAGAATATCCCAAGGTGAAGCGGCAACAGTATTCTCAACCTGCATTCTAGTGTTATACGCACTTGACACAGTGAAGCAACGCTTTTTATCCTGATTCCAGCCCACAACATTAGAACCAGCATTACACAGCGGTGGCCGTGCCGCAGCTAAAACAAGGCATACCATATCCGGTAGTCGGTCTTGAAGAAGTTCCCAGTTCCATTCACCCTCGGTACTAACAAAAGAGTTAGCGTTGCGTTCGGAGTTTAGTACTGAACTAGCGACCCCAGATCCCCAAGCCAGCATCATACCAAAAATCAATCGACGCACCATCACGCAAGGTCCAAACCAGGTTCTGTCGCATCGTTCCAAACTAACGAGAGTCCTTTCCACAGTCTAGAACAGCCACTGAGGTCTAATTCAGTTCGCACTAGATCTTTTATTTTGTATTTTGATCTGAGCATTCGAGCCCACAACTGCGACCCCTCAGCAATTAAGCGGAACGCCATCTTCATAAGAAATGCCTCATTTTGTGCATAAATACTTTTAATTCCAATGCCTTCAATCTCCTGGGGGCAGAAAAGATCCTCAACAAGATGCATCCCAGACGATCAGCCGAATCACCCCATATAAAATTTCGAATTAGCCGCTCATAGCTTCACAGATTTTCTTAGGGAGATAGCTAGTTTGCATTGCATACGAGGGGATAGCTGCTAAAATAGCTTTCGCTAAGGTAATTCTCTCGGCAAAAGAAAGGTGCTTAATTTTCCATCCTGCTAAACGCTCTTGGACCCTTTGGATGAGATAGCCATAAGTAGCATACGAAACACGATTATGAAGCAAAGGTACTCCTAAGTATCTGCCCAAGTCCTCCACCCGGGTAAATTGGAACCCATTGCTTATAGCAATACGAGTTTGTTCCGCAACATTCCTCGAAAAGCAAATATTAGTTTCGGGAAGACTAACTGTGTCTCGAGGCATTGCAAAAATCAGAGAGAATCTCTTTAATCACTGCAAGTTGTGCACTGAAACTCCGCAAACAACACTAGATCATCCGCAAAAAATAAATGTGATCATTGAGGCTCATCCCTAGAGAGCTTAATCAGCTTCCATAATCTATCATCCGCTGCTTTTTGAATAGATCGAGTATGTCTCTCCATGCATAGGACAAACAGATAAGGTAAAAGCAGATCCCCTTGTCGAATTCCCCACGAAGGTTTAAAAGCAGATCCCCTTGTCGAATTCCCCACGAAGGTTTAAAAGCAGATCCCCTTGTCGAATTTCCCACGAAGGTTTAAAGCTATCAGTTTGTCTGCCATTCCATGGAACAAGAATTATTGTAGAAGTAACACAACTCATAATCAATTTATGCATATCATTCGGAATTTCAAAATCGTACAAGGTATCATCAATAAAATGATATTCCGATCTGTCGTACGTTTTATCAGATCGACCTTTATAATCATCTAACCCTTCCGCCCTTGTTTCTTTTTCATCGAATGAATTACCTCTTGAGCAATAACAACGTTATTTGAGATACATCGCCCAGGAACAAAGCTCGTCTGATTTTCCATGATCCACGGAGGTAGAAAAGGTTTGAGCCGAGCTACGATAATCTTTGTAATTGCTTTAAACAAAACTGTGCATAAGCTTATAGGACGGAACTGAGCGAAATTTTCTGGTACCGCCATCTTAGGAATAAGGACAAGAAGAGTCCGATTAATATCCGCCGGAACCTCGCCACTTCTAAAGCAGGATTGTACAAATTTGCACACATTTGGACCAATAATATCTCAATTATTCTGAAAAAAGAAGAAGCGTGAAAGCCATCGATACCCGGAACTTTTAAAGGTTTCATATCAAAGAAAGCATTTTTAACCTCATCATTAGTAACATTATGTGACAAAGTCTTTAAAATCACCCTTGAAAACTGGAAGAATCGGCCCCTCAAGTTGTAAATGTGACCCACCATATTATTAGAAGTAAATAAATTTCGAAAGAAAGCCACAGCTCCATGTCTTAAACGTGCTTGATCTAGACACCAATTACCATCTTCTAATTTCAGAGATCAAATAGTATTCTTTCTTCTTCGGTTCTTTGCGCAAGCACGATAAAATCTGGTATTACGGTCGCCATCAAGAATCCAGCTGCACCGGGACTTTTGCCGCCAGAGATTTTCTTCATGTTCTAAAACCAGCTCGAGTTCCTTTTTCAAATCTTTTTCAAGTTCCATTAAAAAATCCGACTCACGACAGGAAAGAGCATTGTCAATGCCCCGAAGACGGGCTAGTAGTTTCCTCTTTCTCCTCCCTATATCCCCAAATGTATTTAAATTCCAAACAGAAAGAGACGTTCGAAGGGTATCAAGGTTCTGCCGAGTGTCTCTGTCACTCGCCCAAGCAGAACAAAGCAAATCTTTGAAGCCCGGGAGATCTTGCCACGAGAGAAGAAAACGAAAAGGAGGAGTTGTGAGACTAGAGAGCGGAGGCTTTATTCGCATAAGTATCGGACGATGGTCCGATCTTAACTTATCAAGGTGAAGGACATGGGTATCAGGGGAAAAACGCAGCCATCCCTCGTTAGCCAAGCAGCGATCTAAACGTTGAAACAAAGAACCCCTTGACCACGTGAAGGAGGGGCCATGAAACCGAACATCCATCGATGCATTGTCGAAAACAAAATTACAAAACCCACTGCTAGGTGATCAACGATTCAAAACACCACCTCTTCGCTAGTCGAGGTTTAATATAGCGTTGAAATCCCTTTATCAGTTTCCATCATTTTATCTCCACTTTAATATAATTAAATAAATATAAAAATCTCATTTATCAATTTCCATCTTCACCCTCCAATTTTCTAAAAATTCAATTTAGTAACTAAATTTTACTATTCCACTTTAACATGAAAATTCTTTCAAATTCCACTAATTCACATCAAATTATACTAATTAAAAATGTCAATATAATGTTTCTAACCTCAAAATTCCTTCCTTTAAATTCTGTAAGCCTCCGATTCAATACAATTATTCAAATATTTTATCGGACTCTATCACTTAATAAACTTTTATACCAACTTCAAATCAAAATTATAAACCCACTAAAATTATATTCTTGGGCTGAGATTACACGCCCAAAATATAACTTTTGAAAAATTACAATTTTAGTCCTTAAACTTTTATAAATTTACACTTTGATCTCTAAACTTTCGAAATTTACTTTTCAATCACCAGTCCAAAATTTGAGATATTACACCATCAATCCGATTGCAACGAAACAACGGTTTATTCACATTCACGTTCACATTCACGACCACTGCTAGTCCAGCAAATTTTCCCCGTTCCCCGGAATTAGTATTATAATCAATCTTAACGGCTTTCCCAATTTTCGCTGCAAGGAGACAAAAAAGTGATTTGGTGTAATAATGGTACGGTAATCCTGGTAAACGAATCCATACAATAACCTGCGACGGATGATTTTCTTCAGTTTCAAAACTTCGATTCCATGGCTGAACTGTTAAATACCTTCCGAATACCACCCAAGAGCCTTCAGTCAAAACCTTCGTGTAATCCGTATCTAATTCAAACCTCACCAGAAAGTAATCATTATCGAGATCGATCAGTTGGAAATGACCGCGCGGTTGCCAAAGAATATTAATCTTGTTCCAAAGTGCCCTATACCCTATCGTTTTCCTCGTATTTTAGTCGATTGAATCATGTACACACTTAGAGAATTGCATGACAGGGTAGGCACCACTTCGATCAACAGATACATCGCCTTCCTGGATCACGACTTCTTCCTCATTCAAGTCAGGGAACGGTGGACGTTCTGAAGCGTCTCCTCCAATCAGCGTGGCTGGCTGGCTGCATATGATCTCCTAGTGCCACCGTTGTTGACAATCGTTTGACTAGCAGAAAGCTGTCCTATCTCCTGAGCCACAGGCTCCATGGCAATATCCGTAGCGTCGCTAGGAGCGTTGTCCGCTACGTGCATAATCATATCGTCGGTAACCCTAGTATCTTCCGGTTCAAGACCAACCCTGTTCTTCTTTGAAGCCCTTTAAGTATTGATCCCCGGTGGAGTGCACGGCCGCTCGAGCGACGGCGGGACAGCCACTATGGCCTCCTCGCCGGAGGCAGCTGTAGAATTTCGTTCATTCACCAACCCTAGCACAAGAAAATTCCTGAAAAAACGGAGCACCTACTTCTACTTTTTGAACACACTTCTTCAGTAAACTATTTATTTTATGAAACAAGGAATCCCCACAAATTTAAATGAACAAATTGGTCAAATCAAGTAATGGTACAAAAGCTTACAGGAATTTCTATAAAAGCCAAATTTGTTGAGGCATTTGTGATTGGTCCCAAACATCAAGTTGTCCCACCAATTTTGGATAATTCTCTCCTATAATCTTCTTTAAATTTTTAATAATTTTCCACCTTTTTATTACCCTTGTGGTAAAAAAAATCTTTCTTTGATAAATCCATAAGTTTACCTAGGGGTTAATTTGATATATTTAGGATTTAATTCGATGAAGCCAATTTGTGTTAGTAGAGTTAACGAGTACTATTTTATCATTTATACTTTATTTTTTTACTATAGTTTATAAAATTTAAATCGAGTCAAATTGAATATAATTATTTGAGTTTTCATTCAGATTTAATTATAATTATTTAAAATACTATAACATTGATTGGTTACCATTTAAATGACTCTCTAACCATATATAACATATATTATTCATTCACATTTCTTTTACATGATAAGTAAGATAGTAATACTATTTAATAAATTAAATATCATCTAAAATTATATAATGTATTTAAAATAATATTTTTCAAAGAATGGATTTTAAGGAAAAACTATCTTTAATATAAAAAAATAAATATAAAAATAAAAAATAAAATAAAAAATAAAAATAAAAAATAAAATTTTGGTTAAAACTTTAGTAAAAGATATAACATTAACGGCGTGAGAGAGAGAGGGGTGACGGCGTCAAATGTGTCAGAAGCTGTAGAAGAGGGACCCAACGGACGTTCATCATACAGAACTGTCAGAGATAGCTAGGTGACTTGACAATTGACCTTCCCGATGTAAATTTCCGTAAATTTATTTTTTATTATTTTAAAATATTTATTTGTTCTTTTCTTCTTCTTCTCAGTGTACGATAATTAGCCTTTTATTGTTGGTTGTGGTCCCTTAATTTCTTTTTCCTTATAATAATTCATTTTTTGTAAGATTATAAATTGCTTTAATCATTGATTTTAATTTTAAAAATTCATAAAAATATTTAATAATATAATAATTATATTTTTCTACAAGTCATAGGTTGATTTATCTGAATGAAAGATCATCGTCTTAAATGAAAAGAAAAAAATAAAATTATAATCTTTATAATAAATCTTTTCAATATTTAAAGATAGTAATAAGTTAACTTGGGTCGGATTTTAGCCAACTCGTCCCGATTCAGGAAGCATATCCCTCCATTCAAATATAACCTGTCCGAGTTTACGGAGATCCAATATGATCCGAAATTTAATCTGAATTTTAATATAAAAACTCGCATTTGATCTGACTCGACACGATATTTTCTTATTCTTATTTGTAATTGAAAAAATATAGAGAGAAATGTACTATATTAATTATCTCTAAATATATAGAAAATTTATTATTAGTCGTATTGAAGATTTTTCATCATAAACTCGAACTAACTTGACTCAATCTATTTCTTTTTTTGGTTGCCCTCTAGTTCCAAGGCTTAGCCCTGACTAATTTGGACCGACCCGGGCACACGCCTAATTTTGTTGGGTGAGTCTCCCAACGGGGATTTTCTGCATACACAATGACTCGAACCTAATATATTGCTTAAGCGATATCAAGTTGCTTATCACTTGAACCAACCTGTCGGTACTCAATCTATTTTTTTAAAACAACCTTATCATATCAATTTAGATTAAAACTCATCAAATTTGAATCAAATTATCATCCATAATGTGTAATATGTACTAATCAATTAATAACTAAGACACTAATAATTATACCAAAAATAATAATCACATTTATAAAATTCTACTTTAATTTAATATAATTATATACAATTTTTAATTTTAATTAAATTATACAAAAAATAATTTTATTTATATATTTAAAAATAAATATATCTATTTATTTTTAAGGTAAATTATATAAATAGTTTCCAAACTTTTAGGGTGTTTGCATTTTGGTCACCCAACTTTTAAAACTTGCAATACAATCATCGAACAATTAGTTCGTTTTCAGTAAGGTCTCTATCGTTACCTCTCATTAGGGTTAGTTGACATCGCACTTAACTCCCGTTAACTCCATTTCTTTTTTTTCTTCTTCTTCTTCTTCTCATTATTCTCCTTTTTAACCAATGGCAGAAGGAGGAGAGACGAAGGCGAAGAGGCATGAAAGATTGGGTTTTGGTTGGAACGATGTGAGAACTTCAAAGGTGGAGGCGGTGTGGCAAATGGTCATTCCAATCGGCCAAAAATCGATGAAAACAGAAAAGGGACATTGGGGGTTTTCCGACGAGATTTGGGTCCCTCTCCACGAAAAACGAAGGTAAGTCTCGGCGAGTGGCTAGCAGGATTTTGGTTGGAATAGGGCGACGCGCCTACTGGTACCGACGGTGACGATCACCGATGATGAAGATCGGAGATAGATGTTCATACGATATTTTCATGATTTTGGGCGAACGGTGGATGGTGAGTATGAGTCGAGAGTTTGGGTGCAGTCGGAAGACAACGCCAGTGACGATGGTGATATGAGCCACTGCTGACTAGAGGTGGGATGAAAGAAGAAGAAGAAGAAGAAGAAGAAGAAGAAGAAGAAGAAGGGGGTTGACAAGAGTTAAATGCCACGTTAGTTAAAACTAACGGAAGGTAACAACAGATACCTTATTGAAAACGAACTAAAAATTGAATGATTGTATTACAAGTTTTAAAAGTTAGGTGACCAAAATGCAAGCACCCTAAAAACTTGGAGACTATTTAGATACTTTACCCTTGTTTTTATACAGAAAAATATAATTATTTATACACACATGACACATGAGCGCACAACTATATTATTGATTTCTGAAACTTAAATCAAATCAAAATTTCATACATGCAATTATAAAAAAAATTAAAATAATTTTGATATTTAATGTTAAAAATGTATAAATAATTTAGATAATCGTAAAATAATTAAATAAACTTATATTGGATATTTTTATTTAAATTTTTTTAACTCGATATATAAAATTTGTAGTGTAATATATTTGACGAACGAGTAAATTAAAAAATATAATGATATGGGATGAATGTGAATACCTTAAACTGATTTTAATAATGAAATTCTCTTGTTTTTCTAGTTTATATATATATATATATATATTTCACGTAAATATATTATTATTGTTATTTTTATTATTCTATGATTATTTATTTACCATTATTCGTAATAAAATTTAATAAAAAAATCGCAAACGGTCAAAACGCGGAGTTAAAACTAATAATACGGCGATGATTCCCTGACGGGAGAGCAGTTAATAACGGAAAGTAACATGCAACTGCCATGCAGGAATTTAAAGAACTATTGGAAAAACAGTAAAAAAAATCTAAATTACAGCAGAAAAGGGAAGAACCCTTGATTTGTTTGGTAATGTAAGAAGTAATTAGTCAATTATTATTCCCATAAATGTAGAAAAAATTAAACTGGAGAGAGAGACAGAGGTGGGGTGTTTTTGCAGTAGGCAGAGGCCATGGCAGAGAGGTTTCTTAACTTTATATGTGAAATAATTTTTCCTCTCTTTCTCTCTCTTTCTCTGTCTTTCTCAGTTCTCTCTTTGGTACCTCTCTGTAACCCTTTGGGGACCGAATAATGTATACAGGCAGAGTGATGTGATATAACGAGCAGAGTCCTCAGTTCTTTGCTGCTGCTCTTCTCTTCTTCCTCCTTCATCTTCTCGTTTTACCCAGTAGAGGAAAAAGCATCAAAAGAACTATAACAGCTAAGTATCACAGGAAAAAGTGAGATTTTTTCCCATGTCGGTGAGTTGAAAGGGTAGCAGTAGAGAGAAAGGAGGAGGCATTGAACGTCGTCGTTTGATTCGTCTCTCTCTTTGGCTGAGATATGGTGGTCGTGGGTGGTTTTTGTTTGGAGACAATGGCATTTCGTTTGGAGCTTGTCTTCTTGGTTTCCCTCTTTTGTTTGGGTTTTACTTTGGCGAATTCCGATGATGGTAAGTTCTACTTGCTGTATTTTCTGGGTTTTATTTTGGCGGTCTGAAGCTTTTCTTAGTGGTTTCCTCAAACATTTTTGGTTCATCATTCATGCTTGAAGCAAACATCTTTTGATGTTTAACTTTCTTTTGTTTTCCAGAAATAGACTAATTGTTTTTTTTTCTTTTCTAAACTGTGTAACGTAATGAAGGAGCAACACTAATGGAGATGAAGAAGTCGTTTAAGGATGTTGACAATGTTCTATATGACTGGACGGATACCCCATCGTCAGATTATTGTGTTTGGAGAGGAATCACTTGCAACAATGTCACCTTCAATGTCGTTTCGCTGTAAGTTTTGATGCTATAAGGTTTTGTTTTTGTTCTCCCTTCTTCATAGAACTAAATTGCCGTTGTGACTGCTGTGTCGCATTGCCAAGGTTACCTTAAAAAACGTTCTTAAGTTACGTTGTGACTAGGGTTTAAATAGTTGTCCGCTACTGCGATAGCGCCCGCAAAGTAGCGATAGGCTGTCTTCTGATATACTCGTTATAGCTGCAATAGTGCCCGCTATGGTCTCAATAGTAATAAACGAAATATAACTGAAAACACTATCGTGACTGAGATTTGAATCCTAGATGTGACAGTTATCTTGTGCTGCAGCAATTTAATACTATGCTTCTCTTTAAGCTGACATTTGTTTTTGTTTGGTTTCTGGTGCTGTAGTAATCTATCTGGTCTATATCTTGATGGGGAAATCTCAACTGCTATTGGAAATCTCAAAGATCTCCTCACCATGTAATATTCATTTATGCTTTAAGCAAATGGATCCCCATGTATGAAATTGGTGTGAATTTGAATTGAGATTGATAAAGGTTGTGTTTTTTTTTATCAGTGACCTCAAAGGAAATCGGCTATCCGGACAAATACCGGATGAGATTGGTGACTGTTCTTCGTTGAAAAGCCTGTAAGTTGTATACTACATAAGAGCTCAAAGATATGATATTGTAGAATTCATATTGAATTGTATTGTGAATTAAACTGAACATCGTGTTGCTGGAATTATCAGGGACCTGTCTTTTAATGAGTTGTACGGAGACATACCTTTTTCAACCTCAAAACTGAATCGGCTGGAGTTCCTGTAAGTTACTTTTCAAGCTTTTCTAACTGATGTGTCAACTTGCTAGTTCCTGGTTTGTTCAGTTCTAATTAGGAATTTTTCAATGACTATAGAATTCTGAAGAACAATCAGTTGATTGGACCTATACCTTCAACTCTGTCACAGATTCCAAACTTGAAAGTTCTGTAAGTTCCTTCTTCTAGTTTCTCTCCGTTGCCATATAATTCACCTGATGATTGGATGAAATTTTCATGCCCTTATATCGGTTGCAGGGACCTAGCACAAAATAAACTCAGTGGCGAAATCCCGAGGCTCATCTATTGGAATGAAGTGTTACAGTATCTGTGAGTGTAAAATAGTTCAATTTATGATCCTATATAATCATATTTTCTCATGAATCCTTATCTTGCTTGTTTTAATTCGCTTCTTTTCTTCGTTGTAGTGGTTTGCGAGGAAACAATCTGGTCGGTACACTCGCTCCAGACATGTGCCAGCTGACTGGCTTGTGGTACTTGTAAGTTTCCTTACTATTGTTGTTTTTGTTATTGTTCTGGGACCTCATATTTTCGTTCTATCTTCTACCATGTAAGGCTTTTTCTGGTTTAACTTAAACTCTGCATTGTTTGCAGTGATGTGAGAAACAATAGTTTAACTGGGAGCATCCCTCAAAATATAGGCAATTGCACTGCCTTCCAAGTCTTGTATGTACTCATCATCTAATTCAACGATGCCTCATGCTTTCGGAAATCAAAATGCCTATGTCTGTTAAACGGAAACATATCTTTCTCGTGATTGGTAGGGATTTGTCATACAACCAGCTGACTGGGGAAATTCCATTCAACATTGGGTTCTTGCAAGTAGCTACATTGTATATGCCTGGGAATCCCTTTTTTCCCTCCTTTAATGACTTTATGCATACAAACTGCTTAGTTTATTAAGTGTACTCGAATCGAATTTTCTGGTTAGGTCTTTGCAAGGTAATCTTCTTTCGGGGAAGATTCCGTCTGTTATCGGACTTATGCAAGCCCTTGCTGTATTGTAAGTGCCTTTCTTTTATAACTGTATTCAAGTCCTTTAACCATCACAGAATTCCTTCATTTCTGTGTTACTAATCTTTATGTCTGGTCACTTTCTTGTGTATGCTATTCAGGGATTTAAGCTGCAACAAGTTGAGTGGACCTATCCCTCCCATCTTAGGGAACCTGACCTACACAGAAAAATTGTAAGTAGGTAACCGTATGTATTTTTAATATCATTTAACCGATTGCGACTTGCAAGTATAACGAGACCATTTCTCGTATATTCTTGAACAATGTTCTGATGGGCATATACCACATGTAGATATTTGCATGGCAACCAACTGACTGGATTGATTCCCCCTGAGCTTGGGAATATGACAAAGTTGCACTACTTGTAAGAATAGTTTTTCTTGTTTGTCTTGCTTATTGAGTTATTTCCATTGATTTGGCCTCTTCCGAATTACTCGCCTATATGATACCTACACGTAAAACATCCGTTATGTATAAAAGCGAAGAGAATATTGTCAGCGTCTCAAACATTACTTTGCTTTATGCAGGGAACTAAATGATAATCATCTTACAGGTCGTATTCCACCAGAGCTTGGGAAGCTAACAGAACTGTTTGATCTGTATGTTAATTCTTAGTAGTTGTTCAAATATTTTGGTTCAGCTATGTCGTACGCACTGACAACCTTTTTGCAGGAATGTTGCTAATAACAATCTTGAAGGGCCTATTCCTGAAAATCTTAGCTCATGCACAAATCTCAACAGCCTGTAAGCACTAATCTTGTTTCCGGTATTCATATTCATTTAAATTTGAACAGTTTTAAGGTAGTTAATTGCTTATTCCGGCGACAGCAACGTGCATGGAAACAAGTTGAATGGAACCATTCCACCTGCTTTTGAAAGGCTAGAGAGTATGACCTATTTGTAAGTAATTTACCTCAGGAATGTTCCGTTATTATCTTGTTGTTACGAATATAATCAATTTGATCATGGGTTCTGCTTCTCAGGAATCTCTCCTCGAATGATATTAAGGGTGTTATACCGATTGAGCTTTCACGAATCGGTAATTTAGATACGCTGTAAGCATTAAGTGCCATAAGGTGTTGTTCCGCTTTGTTCGTTTTATCAGTTGTTAACTGTTGTTTGTTTTCCAGGGACATTTCTGGTAACAAAATTAGTGGCTCTATTCCTTCATCCCTCGGCGACTTGGAACACCTTTTGAAGCTGTGAGTGCTTCTAGAAAATGATATATATATGTGTGCGCGTATAATGTTCTAGTTTAAGTGCTTAGTGAAGGCTTTCGTCATTGCTTTATCCGTTTCTGTAGGAATTTAAGCAGAAATCATTTGAGAGGAACCATTCCAGGAGAGTTTGGCAATCTAAGAGGTGTTATGGAAATGTAAGAAATCTTAATCTGTCTGCCATGAAAATAGGCTAAAGCTTTAAGAAGTACATGCTGATCTCTTGTTTTATACTTCTACATTGTAGAGACCTTTCGAATAATCATCTCTCGGGCGCTATTCCCCAGGAACTTACACAGCTTCAGGACTTGTTCTCATTGTAAGTAACTTTGTCAACTCAAATTCCAAACATTTTAGGCGTTGGAAAGAACATCCCGGCACACATGACGCTTCCGTTTACATGTCAGGAAGAACATTTTAGGCATGATATTCTTCGTTCTTATAATCCGCTGGTTCTAAATAATGCAGGAGGCTGGAAAACAATAACTTATCCGGAGATTTGACGTCCCTTATCAGCTGTGACAGTCTTACCATCTTGTGAGTTGAGGTTGCATTAGAAGTTGTGCTTTATTTTTGACATAGGGCTGCATCGTATAACTCCATAACTTGAAACCTTGCAGGAATGTGTCCTATAACAACCTTGCTGGCGATATTCCCACAAGCAACAACTTTTCAAGGTTCTCGCCAGATAGGTAAAGATTTTGCTCATTTGCATTCAAAACAAATATTTGTGAATTAGTCGCTACCTTTTCTTCGTACGAATCTGAGTTTAAACCAACATCTCTTTACAGTTTTATTGGAAATCCCGGGCTTTGCGGCTATTGGCTTTCTTCTCTATGCCATGGATCTCATCCCACAGAGAGAGGTATTTTTATCTTACATGTCGATAGTATGAGTTTCTATAAACTTTCAAAAGAATTTCGGTATTTCAGGCAGATTTTTACCTCGAATTCGGAAGCTCGGAAGCCACTATGACTAGAAAATAAAGATTAACACAATGAGCTACTACCTTGTTATTCACATTGGCATCTACACCTTGAGTTCTTGGTTCTCTTTGAATGGTTATTCATTTGGTTATGCTGTCTTGTCTGCAGTTGCAATCTCTAAAGCAGCAATCCTCGGCATCGCGCTCGGTGCTCTTTTGATTCTTCTAATGATCTTGATTGCTGCATGTCGCCCCCACAACCCTACACCCTTTGCAGATGGATCATTGGATAAGCCAGGTGCCGATAAAATGTTCCCTTTTTTCTTTTGAAGATGCATTCTTATTGAAATTTATGACCCTTGTTATTGACTTGTGAAATTTTCGATGACAGTTACTTACTCGAGACCAAAACTGGTGATCCTACATATGAATATGGCACTTCACGTATACGAGGACATCATGAGGGTGACCGAGAATTTGAGTGAGAAGTATATAATTGGCAGCGGCGCATCGAGCACAGTCTATAAGTGTGTTCTTAAGAATTGCAAGCCAGTTGCCATCAAGAGGCTGTATACTCACTATCCACAGTGCTTGAAGGAATTCGAGACGGAACTCGAGACGATAGGAAGTGTTAAGCACCGAAACCTGGTTGGCCTTCAAGGCTATTCCCTCTCCCCTTCTCGGAACCTTCTCTTCTATGACTATATGGAAAATGGCAGTCTTTGGGATCTCCTCCATGGTACGCTTGTCTTCTATGAATATACCAGTACCATTCTTTAGCTTCTCTATGTGCTCATTTAACACATGGAACACAGCTTTTCTTATCATCCATGGTGAAAACAACACATTTTCCCATTTTTACTGCAGTTTCTACCAAGAAGAAAATTCTCGATTGGGACACTCGACTGAAGATCGCACTCGGAGCAGCTCAAGGGTTATCTTATTTACATCATGACTGTAATCCCCGGATCATCCACAGGGACGTAAAGTCATCGAATATTCTGTTGGACAAGGATTTAGAGGCTCATCTTACAGATTTCGGCATTGCTAAGAGCTTGTGCATATCAAAGTCTCACACTTCCACTTACGTAATGGGCACCATTGGTTATATAGACCCCGAATATGCTCGCACTTCCCGCTTAACCGAGAAGTCCGATGTTTACAGCTATGGGATTGTGCTACTTGAGCTGCTTACAGGAAGGAAACCTGTGGACAATGAATCCAATCTTCATCATTTGGTTAGTTTTTATGATCATCTTCATTTTAACCGAATACTTTATTTAGGGTCTGTAAGTAGTTTCAAAACTCCATTGATGTTACATTTGTCTCAGATTTTGTCCAAGGCTGCAAACAATGCTGTTATGGAAACCGTTGATCCAGAGATCACCGCTACTTGCAAAGATCTCGGAGCTGTTAAGAAAGTTTTCCAGCTTGCCCTTCTATGCACCAAGAAACACCCATCAGACCGACCGACAATGCACGAAGTGACACGTGTTCTAGGAAGTCTCATGCCGTTAGAAACCCCTCCAAAACATCTGAACTCGGTCCAACTGGCGCCTCTGCCATCTACCAAGGTCACTTGCTACAAGGATGAATATGCAAATCTCAAAACTCCACACTTGGTCAATTGCCCATCTATGAGTACCTCGGATGCACAACTTTTCCTCAAGTTTGGAGAGGTTATTTCTCAAAATAGTGTGTAAAACGAAGTCTAATGTGCATTAGAGGATTGAATATCAAAGGATGTCTTACTTTAGGTGTAGCCAATAGATTTGAGAAAGAACCAAAGATGCTAACTAGTGATAGTACTACAAATTCATGCTTGCATATTGACTATATGCAGGATGGACTGAAGGGGGAGTGGGTTAGAGGCAGTCACCCCGTTGAAAATTTTAAACTAGCATATATTTTAGATATTTTCTTTATATTTTAAATTAATAATCCGATTTTCCCCTAAAATTTTATAAACTTATCCTACTAAAATTTTATCCTACGTCCGTCCTGACTATATAAGACTATGACAGTGATCTTGGCATTGTCTAAAGTGGGACCTTTGGCATGGTGGGGTTTACCAGTGAGTTGGGTGCTTTCAGCTCTGCATGAAAACTCATTATTTGCGTGACCAGCAATAATGCACTGATGAGTCCTCTGCTGCGTGTATCAGTTCCATGTGTTTCAACTTTTGAATGCTTTAAGATGGGGTAGTTTAGGGGTGTAAATGAGTACCTACAATAAAATTTTCATGTATAGTTCTTATAACTTTTATTTATTAAATTAAATAAATAAATATGAATAAATTTTTTTATATTAATTTAATAAATAAATAAGCACAAACGGAAATGTGTTCAATTCGTTCATACCATAAAAAAATTATATTCATTTAATAAACAAACGAATACGTTTCAGTTCGTTTGCGTTCACAAAATCGTTTATAAGTTTGTTTTTATTGATATTCGTTTAAATATATACAAATCGAACATGAACTATTTCAATAATAAACATGAATATAACTTTCCTGTTCAAATCCAATTTATTTACATCCTTACGGGTGGCCATTGATTTGCTGTACACGTCACCACCTTAATAAACTTGCTGGTGGTTGTGACGTCCCCATAAGTGGAAACTTAATGATTAATGAGCCTTTATGTCCCCATAAGGTGAACATAACTTGAATTTTCAGCTTGTATGTGAACTGTGTTCATACTGGTTCTGTGAAGTTGCATTCTGGCAATGTGTGATGAACAATCAAATATTTTATTTCCCTTGTTTCCCTCAAAATTACATAGTTTGTGTGTGCGCGCGCTTATCAATCATGTATTTTATTGCCATTTTTCATCACCTTAGTCGCCAGCAGCCATGCCCCCCCCCCCCCCTCAAGCCTAAAGCTATCACAGCAGAACTCTCTTCTCCCTCCTCTTCCTATCTGGTTATTTTTCCCTTAACACAACCCTATAGAATCTAAATCCCTACAATATCAGACAGACCGAAGGACCCCGACCCTAGGCAGGGGCTTAACGGTGATCAAAACACGACACCAACTACAACTTAGTGCGATCGTTTTCGGATGTTGTTGCACTACCTGAGGATATATCAAAGCTAATTACAAGGTCATGGCTGAGTGGATAAACATTCTGGTGCCACCATTAGCCAGATCAGGCCGAACGACGACAGTGATGACTATGACGGTGATGACTTTCATTTTAGTTGTTGGAAATAAAATAAGCAAACAACAATAAGCATCATCATCATGATCACGAAGATGAAAATTCATTCCCCAAGAGTTAGTTATATTCACTCAGCATTAAAGACAGTTCTTGTAATTCATTCAAATAGTTAAAATGAAAACGATCACTCAGCATCATGATCATGAAGAAAGCTACAAACTAACAAAAACACCGTGTAATAACTACAACAAATCATCACCAAGTTGCCTTTCCTTAAAAGTAGTTATATTCACGTACATCGGCCAACGAGAACGACCGCCAATTTGAGAAATTCCGACCACTCAACTGCGGCGACGAAGAAGGTGAAACTGTCCTCGTTTGTGGGTGCAGCGGAGGTAACCGAGGGCTCGAAATCGATGGGGAATCTTCACCGGTGCTAGAAAAGCTACCGGTTTCGGAACTACCCATTGCAACAGCAAGTGCCAATGTGCTTTTGCTTGAACTTATTGGTCGGATGAGTCTTTTGTTCCTGCATTTGTCCCATATATGATTGATTGCCAACAGATTTCTCCTTCTTCTTGTATAGGCATTCTCAGGCTTTGCTATGTCTTTAATGGAGGAAACTGCGGTTGCTTCTGCTAAACTTGTATAAGACCTGGATTTTCCATTGTAGAAACTCGAAATACTTCTTCTGGAAAACAAAACCAAAAAATCCCACACTTTATTTCAGCATATTAAACAATTTGATCGATAAAATCACAACTTTTTTTTTAAAAAAAAAGTTTTGTTTACCTCATGCCTAGAACCTGTTCGATGGAATTCATCATATCCAAGGGACCTTCATAAGAGCTCTGAACCTCGTTTTCCTCGCAAGACACGTCATCGTCATCGCTATTCCTCCCGATCGAAGACGACGTCGTCGCGGAAGACGAACCCGAACCCCTCCAATCCTCTTCCTCCTCCTCCGTCGCGGACGGCGGCAACTCGAATCTAGAAGCATCGCAGGCGCACTTCATAACGCGACTAAACCCCGATGTTTCGATCCTTTCCAAGGCGATCGACATGGCTGATCCTTCAAAATTTCAACACCCAAACCAGCAAACCAGATATTGAAACAGACCCAAAGAGGAAAAATCAAATTCAGATACGAACAAAGGGTTCGAATTGGATTTGGCGATTCGATTGTCTGTTGTTGTTAATTATATATTGGGGGATTGAATTGAATAAAGCAACGGGGTACTCTTATCCTCATCCACACATTGTCAGAAACTTTCCCTTTTTTAATGAACATCCAGTAATAAAATAAAACTGAGCTGTTTTTGTCAGGTGTTTCCGTGTGCAGAATATCATGTATGCACTTTCTTTATTTTAATCTGTTAGTAAAATTGTTAATTTAATCCCTGTAGTTTTTAAAATTTAGTTTTTGATATTTTTACCCTACTCAACTCTAAAATTTAATCCATTGATTTAATTTATATAATATGAATCTTTATTTTTTGTAATGGTATCAAACATAAAAAGATATCGTTAACTTGATACGAGTGTTTTGAAGAGAAAAAAAATTGAGGTTGATATTTTCTCAAGTTACAATTACAATTAACAATCAATATGCAACCATACAAGTACCAATTAAATTAATATTTACATCTGATAAGACTTAAATCATAATAAAATATGTTCAAACTCAGATACCCAAAGTCTTATAAGTTCAACCTTTGATAATAAAGTTGGTATCTCATTCGATGTTTTAATATTTTGATTAAAATAATTAACATGGTATCTGTTTGGATTTTGGACTAACTAATAAAAAAAGAGAGATTAAATAATGTGAAATTTAAATTATTATGGTTACATCTTGAATTAGAGCATAGAGTAGGGACTAAATTTCAATTTAACCAAAAATGAAGTCGAGATGAGGAAGTGATTATTGGTGAAGTGAGTGCCACGTGGGTTAATTTATGAAACAAAAGTGGTGGATATGGATATATAACGACGTGGCTGTGACAGAGGACCTTTTGCCTCGTTGGGTGATGCCCTGAGCCTTATCCATATTTGTGGGACCACACGTTTCTTTTTATTTACAAAAATTTAATCTTTTAAGTAGACGTGACAAAAATAATTGTATTCGATTCCATAAAGTCGATAAAAATTCTTAGTTAATGTGTTTGAGAGATTCATTTAAGATAATGAAAAAAATTATTTGTTGGCATAAAATATTTGTTATAGTATATTTTAGAAGACATTCTGAATTACCTGATGTTTTTTAAAAATTATTTGAAATATACGACGTCTTCCCTTTATTATATACAAGCGGACCATCAAATCTATTAGATTACCAATATAAAAGATGTTGAATGATTTAGATGTCTCTCTAAAAACGTCAAATGAATTAGACGTATTTCCAAAAATAATATAGCAAAAATCTTATCTTAATAAATAACTTTTCCAATATCCTAAATAAATTAATCTTTTTTCTCAATTCATTATCTAAGAAATTTTGCCGATAAAACTAATTTCTTTTAAATAAAATTTAAATTTTTAAGTAAGTTTATTAATGAGAACTTGGTTCATCCTATTTAAGATATATATTTTCTATATTTTATATATTATCAACTATATTTTGATAAAAAAACATATGTAAAATTAACAGGATACTAAGTGATATGAAACTAAAAAATACTTTAATTTTTGTGTTTAATTGAATAAATTAAAATATTGTTTTTAGTTATTTTATTATTTTTCTAAAATGATTATGTGAAAATTACAATAATATTAAATTAAATCCAATCACGATAAAAAAATTTAATTAAATTTTTTAATCAAGTCGAGTGTGAATTAATAAAAGAATTCACTCCATTGAAATCTCTAAATATCAATTATCGTACTAAAAATATTAGTTTTATTTAATAATTTGTTTGTATTTAATATTCTGATTTTATCTTATAATGGAATTTATCAACTCTTTAATTTAAATAAATGTATATGCATTTTATAAATAATAGTATTCAAACTCGAATCACCTTACATATTATTTTTTATTATTGAGATCATTCTTTAAGTTCATTCTTAATAATTTTTCAAACATTATAATTTATATATGTGGACGTTACTTAATAATTATTTAGTTGTTAATATATTGTATTTAATTTAATTTTAAAAAGATAAAAATATAAATAGATAAAGTCCACTTATCCCCTCAAAGTTGAAAGAAAATTACAAAATTACTTTTAACATCATAATAAATCGAATACCGATAACTAATAAAATAATAATAATCAACAACATTACTTATACTGAATGATGTCATACTCCAACCTTGGAACATCCCAAACCTGATCATATTATACACAGCCTTGGCACTTACAACAGCCCTGCTTCGAAGAGATTTCTCCGTCACAGAGTCTGGTTGACAAGCGTGAACGTCTTCTTCACGACCTTCTAGTCAAGGACGGTGGTTCTGTAGACCTTAAAGACATGGTATTCTCGATCGGCTAAGCGAGATGTCATCGACTAAGCAAGTTACTATCTGTGTCTACGATCTAACCAGCGATTTACGTTACCAAATTACGTTACGATGTGTGAATATCGTGTCACACGTGAACGGCGACGCTCGTTAATGCATTTGCAGAGTCAAAAGACGGATTAGAAGTTCACCTAAACTGGATTTCTACAACACCGGTTGTACGAACTCTTGCAAATAGAACATCCTCCTGCAATACAAACAGCAGAATAGAAAACTGGCAATAATGCAATGCGACCAACAGCTTATATGTTAAATAAGACGATGATACGACGAGGTCTTAGTCCACGAACGCGATACACGTTTTGGCGAGCACGACATGTTCCCGCGCCACTCCGACTAAATACCTTGGTCGGGAAGTAATTTGCATCAGACAATCTTTGCAAATTTTCCATGAAATAATGAGTACAATCCGGTACTTGAAGTTCATTAGCGCGAGCATAGATCTCCTACAAGTGCATGCGGAATGATCATGTATCAAAATGCACAACATAGATATGCGACGGAGCTAAGTAAAATTAGCTTATGTCGTTTGTAGACGTAGTTACTAGAATCGTGGAATCTTTCCAGATATTTCCTATCTCCTTTGCGAGTTCTCGATTTAGACACGGATAATCCAACCTGCTTCCGATTTCTGATAGTTTCTCTCCAGTAACCTGACAGTGAAAAGATTATGCAATATGTTGAACACAGATCATAAAAACAGAAAAGAAAAGAAACAGGTCAAAATGCAAACCTTTATCTGCTGACAATCGAACAATCGAAAACAAAATACGATTAAATGAAGGGATTTTGATGTCTTCAGCCGTTACGAATGAGAATTTAACCCTGTCGAACAATGAAAGTAAATTACTCCTTGTACATACCAAGAAGTAGAAGCTTGTGGATATGCTTTTCAGCCTTCGTTTCTTGTTCGGTTCTCCTTTCGATTTCTATGTAATAACCAGATAGTTAGCCGAATCTAATCCATAAAAGGGTGACGGCCGATATATATAAACCGTGGTCCACCTGTGCATTGTCCTCGGCATCTGCTTCGGTATGGTGGCGGTTCTTGCTGTAGATATAGCCCATATTCTATAGAAAGTTGACAGCATAGAAGATGCAGAAGATGCATGAATCAATAACAAAAAGACTTCTTATCTGTCATTGCCTCACACAGCATTCGCTAGGACAATGTATCTAACCTGACCTAAGCAGAATGTCGACATCGGTTACGGCCGTGATCGTAAAAGTGATCCTCAAGTCGGAAATCAAGAAAGCTTCCGACGCAAGAAAGCATCCGAATACACTTCGGAAACGTTCTAGCAAACCCAAAAACACAAACCATAGCAAAATTCTAGTCCTGGAAACATGGACTAGATGGTTAAAACATTCAAACAAGGGAAACAAAGAGAACAGCATATCATGTTAGATCAAATTCCAACTCAGATTTAAGACAGCAAATCACTGATCCAATTACAGGCCGCTTTACACGTGTCGAAATCACAGAGAACAACTGAATACACCATACATGAATGCTCATATCTGAACTCAAAATTAAACCACACAATCAAGATATCATTCTTTATATGTTTTATGAAGCTTTCGCCTTTACTAATCTCTTTAACAGTATAATTCTCAGGCCTCCCCAAGTTTTACATGGAAGTTTAGAATCAAACTATACAAACAAAGTGTTGAACTTTATCAAAGGAGCTAAAATTACAATCTCGCCAACTTTATCAAACTAGCTGTTCACTCCAAGGATTTAAATAGTGATTGCGGTTGCGTTTTTAGTTGTGTTGTGTTTATCGCAATTACGGTAATAGCGGGGGCTTGCAGTCATTTTGGGTATCACGGTTACAAAATAACGGTTTCAAACGATACCTTTATCCCTATATGAAGACCGTTATTCCAGTAAAATACTGTTATTTAAATCCCTAGTTCACTCTTTCGGTGAAAACACACACATGGTGGGGGAACCCAAAATGCTAAAACAATCAACCTGATCTAAAGCACCACATAACCAACAAAGGGATCTCCAAATTCAAGGCAAAGACACCAACAGATCTAAAGAAATGTTGAATTTATGACGGGCTTTGGAGCTCCCAATCAAAGACAGAAGTATAGTTGTGTACAAATTATATGTGCATGAACATTTTTGGATTGTATCAAAATAAAATTCGAGTTATAAACATTAACTAATTTCACCTTAATACTAATTCTATAAGTGTAATGTATGACGACAAAATTTCAATCTTAATGAAGAAACCAAACTCCCCCTCTTTACAAAATCTCTTAGAGATGTTCCTCAATAATAGACACCAACCAATTCAAAGAAATACTCCACGTTGTACTTAATTGTATGTAAACAATAATATTATAAATGTCAGTTTTGTTCTCAGTAATATCATCATGAGCAGTAACGCAATATATTACACTGCATTGAATCTTATTTCATATGAATTTCTACTTTCAATTAAACACTAATACAAGAAGTATAATCGTATACGAACGAAATGTACAAATTAAATATAAGAAAAACAGATCGTTTTGAGCTAAACCAAAATAAGATTCATATCACAAACTCTAATATCAATTTTCAAAAGACATAAAATCCCCACTTTGTCTGACCACGTTTATCCCGAATACATACAT